TAGTGACGAAAACAAGAATCCGAAAAAGATGGTGGCGATGAATAGTGGGCGTAATTCACTCTGCTTGTAGAAATTATTCCCATCGGTTGATTTTCACGGTGATTGCTTGGTTCTGTTACAAATATGAGCATGGAATTGTTTACCTATGGTAAGTCCCACTGCATTCATTCCCATTCAGAACCTCGATAATAAGCCTTAGCTTATGGTGCCAGGTTATCATTGTTGTATCCTTTTCAGTTAAATGCATCCATTTTACATTTCCAAGTGAACTCACAGTTTGATATTTGTAATAGGTGGTCATGTCGCCATCACTGGACAATTGTATCTAAACATCCGAAATTAAATTCGAGTGAAGAAGTTGGGTGAGAAATAATGGAGTCTTGGTTTAAGTCCTTTGCATGTCTATCAGGAAGAAGAAAATCAGAGAAAATGACCATTTTAGCCCCTAACATGACGCCTAACTGATGGATAGATAACAGAAGGACTAATGTTGGAACAAATGTGAAAGTCAAGTGTCCTTTTTGTTCAAATTAAAAGTCAAGGACCAATTTTGGAAAATCGTAATAGTCATTGCTGGAAATATATATATATATATATATATATATATATATATATATATATATATATATATATATATATATATATATATATATATATATATATATATATATATATATATATATTAACATTTTAAAAAATTAACTTTTTTTTTAATTTTTAAAAATAAATTAAATTAATATTATTTGTAGACTTTGAGCTTTACTTATTTTTTTGAACTTAAAAAAAAAAAAAAAAAAAAAAAAAAAAAAAAAAAACTCACGGATCGGCCCGCAGGACCCGCCAACTCGCATGGGACGGTCTATGGTTGCATGAACCCTAACCCGCGAGTTCGGTGGGCCGACTCGCAAAAGCTCGCAAAAAATTAGGCCCGAAAAATTTTGCATGTACATCTCTTGAAAAATGGCGGCTTAAAACCCAAAAAACATTTGTCAGAAATTATTTTTCAAATTTTCAAACGCACCCTTAATTCAAACGATTCAATTAGAAAAATGTGAAAATGCTAAATTAACTTTTCTCATCTCAATACAAATAGAAATTTGGTACGTGCAGTATATGCACCTGAAAGTGTCATAGTGCAATGAGACTAGCTGCGATACCAAAGATATGACAATGAGAACTGAGATTTTCAGAAAGGAACTACTTCCATTTCCTGTTTGGTAAAACGAGTGTTAGCTGATAGCTGATTGTGTTAATTAGAAGGTATAAATAGTTGATAACATTAGCTGATTGTAGAAAAGTGTTTGGTAAATTAGCTGTTAGCTGATAGATGTTTGATATAATTCTTTTTCACAAAAAGCTAATTGAAAAAGTTGTTTGAAGTAAATTTTTGAATTTTAGCCTTTTGGAGTTGCAAAAAAACTAATTAACCAAACATTTATATTGATACTTTAACTAAATCAAACAATTAATAGTGGTCAAATAAGCCTAAATTGACCTATAGGCCAATTTTTTACCAAACAGGTCCAATATAATGTTTACTTACATTACTAGTCTTTTCTATGCGTGATGTGCAAAAGTATATGCTCAATATTTTTTTTTTAAGGAATAAAGGTCAAATAGGCCACACAACTGCACATCAAAATGCAATTAGATCATTGAACTCAAAAAGAATGCAATTAAGCCATTGAACAAACACAAAAACATGCAATTTAGTCCAAAATGATTTGTTTACCTAATGTAGCAAGTTACCAATTTTAAAATTATTTTTTTAAAATTAATTTTTAATAAATAAATAATTAAAATATTAAAAAAAAGTTTTTTTTAAAAAAATAACAGAATATGGTGGCCGAAGACGATTCGTCTCCGGCTGGCTTTGTCTCCATGGCCGGAGACGAACCTCCACCTCCAGCCATGGAGACATGGAGACGAAGGTCCCAGCCATGAAGACGAAAGGTCCCTTCGTCTCCATAGCCATGGAGAAGAAGTTTTTTTTTTTTTTTTAATATTTTAATTAATTATTTATTAAAAGTTATTATAAAAAATTAATTTTAAAATCAGTAACTTACTACATCAGGTAAACAAATCATTTTGGGCTAAATTGTATTTCTTGTGTTGTTTAATGGCTCAATTGCATTCTTTTTGAATTCAATGACATAATTGCACTTTGGTGTGCACTTGGGTGGCCTATTTGACCTTTATTCCTTTTTTAAAATAACTAACAAATTCCTACTAATTAAAATCTATATGAAATCAAATTTATTTATTATACTAATCCAATATATAATGTTTACACCTATTATTATCATTAAAGAATATAAAAATATATATAGTGGATGCATGTATGTGCATGATAACAATAATGAAAAAGATAACGAAAGTTATAACGGTAGGGGTATTTTTGTCCAAAAAATTATATAGTACAACTCTAAAAGTACAATGTACAAAAGGGAAAATAGCACTTTTTCTCCATGAGTTATATACTTATAGCACTTTTCTCCCTTGAATTATTCAAGTGGCTGTTTTTCCCCCTAAAATGTTAAATGGACATATTTACCCTTAAAATAAATATTTCATTTGTTTTTCTTCTCCAACAAATTATGACCACAATTTGATTCAAATCAAACAGACACTATAGCAACCAAACCGAAATATTCCAAATACAATTTAGAATCGAAATCCGATATTTAGAGTTTATTAAAATTGCGAATCAGAACGGCTGGTTCATGTTCCGAACTGAAAAAGAAAAAATAAAATACATTTATTGTTGAATTTAGACTATTTTAAAATAAAAAAATTAAATTTTAAAATAAAGACGGTCCAAAATCGCGAACCGGATCCGGAACCGCCAGTTCCCGATTCAGGATCCAGCTTTTTTGATTCATAATTTTAATAAACTGAAATCCAAATATTGGGTTCTGGATATGAATCATAACTGGAAACTTTTAATTCGATTGCTATAGTGTCCAGTTCAGTTAGAACCGAACCATGGTCATCCCTACGTATACACAATAATTTGTTAGAGAAGAAAAATAATTAAAATGTTTACTTTAAGGGTAGAAATGTCAATTTAATATATCAGGGGGGGAAATCGCCACTTTTAGAATAATTAAGGGGGGACTAATGTGCTTACATGAACAATTCAGGGGGAAAAGTGCTATAAATATATAACTTAGAGGGAAAAGTGTCATTTTCCCATTAAATGATTAGCATTAAAAACATGAACATAAATAAGGGATATAACTTTGATTGAGACTTATTATGTTTTTCGAATCTTTATTTTTATAAATTTATAAAAGGATATTATTATGAATTAACCGTAGAGTGAGTGGAAATATATATATGATGTAAATACACTTTATTGTTTATGTACATAAAATTTTAGTTGAGATATAGATACAAATTAATGGTAATAATATATTTAATAATGGGTAAGATAATAGTAAATTAAAACCCAAAAAAACAATAATTTTGAAAAATGTATTGCAGTTTTCCTCAAAAGTATTACATTAATCCCCTTACTGAAGATTTAAGGTTACTCTACTCCCAAAGCTAAGGATTGAATCTTTGACCTTTGGTTAAGAATAGATGAGTCCCTTCCACACAACCACACTCTTCAAGCTCAAAAATATTACATTATACCTTAAGTAACAAACACTCTATTCCTAATTAGTATTATATTTGTCCGTATAAGTATTTTACATTTTCATATTAACTCGACTCGTTTTAAAGACCAGGATCTATGGGACGATCTCACGGGAGAGTTACTCTTTAATAATTTAGGTAAATTATTTTGTTAAATAATGAATTCAAGGTAAATGCAATTAGGTAATTAACTTAGTAATTAATAACTAACTAACGAAATACTTAATGTCATAAAAGCAATTTAGTCTTAAAAAGATTAAGGTACAATATTTTTAACATAACGTACAACTTGACAAGCAAGATATACTTTACATTGTCTCTTAAAAGTTAGGTAGGTAACGACTCTTTGAGAAAGTATGTATGAATATATACTATATTATAATAGAGTCGGTAGTATTTAGAAAAAAAAAAAAAAAAAAAAAAAAAAAGTTAGGTAACAAGAAGGTTGCATCAATATAATTGTGTTTTGCCCCCCTCATTAAATGCAATTTGCTCATAGGTACTAATTCATAACAGTAGAATACGAAATGTGATACATAAAGTCAAATGAAAATGATTATACAAGTCTGACAAATAACAAACGCAACTCTGCTCTCTTCTCATTGAGTGTGTTTGGTTGATGGATTTTACTCATAGGAATGAGTATAAAAGTGATTGTTATTGTTTAATTGATAGGTTTTTAGAGCACTACTATGGGTTTTAAATATTCCATCAATTGCAAACTCATACCCAAATAAAATAAGGGTTTCATTCCCTTATTCATTCTCAAGCACTATTATTAGTAATCATTCCCATTCTACCCTACTACCAAACATGTTAAATACTTTCACCAAAACCCATTACCATTACCCAGTATTTAATACCCATTCCGATTCCAATTCCCATGAACGAACCAAACACACCCTTATTTCTCTTCTGTTGGAAGAGAATAACTCACATGTTGCAAAGCTCCCCACCCTCTCTCTCTTGCATCTGTCACTGCCAAATTAACTTCTCTCCAATACAAATAGATACTATATATGCAGCTGAAAGTGTGAAAGTGGAGCGAGAGTGTGTGAGATAGCAAAGATATGGCAATAATGGGAAGTGAGATTATGAGAAAGGAAGTAGTTCCATTTGTAGGAATGATAGTAGTGGTGTGTCTGGAGATGGCAAGAACCACAATAGCCAAATTGGCCCTCAACTCCGGGTTGAGCCCTCTTATATACATCGTTTACTACTATTTCCTTGGCACCCTCTTTCTTCTTCCCGTATTCATCATCCAGCGCCACAGGCCGGTTTAACAAATCAAATCCCATTGTTTACTTATCAAATTAATAAGCTTCATTCCAACTCATAAGTTTACTTTCATGTTTCAGAAGGCATCCTTTACCTCTAACCTTGTATATGCTGAGCAGATGCTTAATCCTCGGCCTGCTCGGGTATTAATACTACATTCATAAGCGCAGCTAAGCTTTGTGATGATGAAAGAAACTAAAGGTATAAATTGAAGATCTATATGTCTAAGAAAATTTTATAATTATGATAATATTGCAGGACATGTGTAGCGGTTTTTGGTAACCAAGGGCTCAACTATAGCTCCCCTACTCTCTCTGCAGGCATTAGTAACTTGATACCTGCTTTTACATTTGTGCTTACAATGGTTTTCAGGTAAGACATACAAGTATCTGTTCGTAATTACTGATTCTGTTACAATATAGTATCCGTTCGTAATTACTTTTTTAACCTACTGAAACACAAAGAGCTTACTGGGGCTCAAATTCATGACCTCCCATTTGGAAGAACGACTTCGTGCCACTAGACCACAAGGTCATTGGCAGCAAGCAGTAATCCCCCTAGCCTGCTTCTGTCTGGAAACTTCCATGAATTGTTATAAACTTTAGGATGAAGAAGTTTGAGGTGAAGAGAAGAACATGGCAAGCAAAATCAGTGGGCACAATTGTGTCAATCATAGGGGCATTTGTCATGACTCTATATCAAGGACCAACAATCTTGGGATCTTCGTCTATTTTATTGCCTCAGAAATCTCTTCTGTCAGATGAATATTCATCAAGGTGGGTGGTGGGAGGTGTTATGAGTGTAGCTGCATACCTTTTTCTATCTGTGTGGAACATTCTTCAGGTACAATATATATAAATGAGTATGAAGAATATGGATAGATTATCCCATTAATACACAAAACTAATTTCATTCCAGTTTTGAATCATATCTGCAGACAGCTATACTAAAGAATTTCCCAGAACAGAGTACAGTAGTGTTCTTCGGTACTGGCTTTACTAGTATCCAATGCGCAATTGTTTCAGCACTAGTAGAAAGAAAGCTGGATGCTTGGAAGCTGCAGCCTGGCATTGGAATGGCTGCCATTGTTGCTTCTGTAAGCAAGAATTTAAATTCATAATTATATCAGATTTTGGGTTTTAATTAATTTCACTTTTGTTCCGACTACTTTTGAGGTTGTATCATTTTTTGTGCATAATTTTGTTATTTTTATCAATTCTGGTCCTTTTGACCAAATTGATAGCAAAATATTACTTGATTTTATATTTTTAGGGGTAAAATTATCTTCCCAATGAAACATCTTCAGTATCTAAACAGAATCATTGTAAAATCATATCTATAGGTGTTTGATGGATGAGAATAATGAGAAGACGAGCATAAACTAGACACAGATCTATAGAATTTATAACATAGACGATTGTCAAACTCTTTTTCTCTTAATATAATTTTTGAAAAAATTGTAACTTTTGCTCTTCCATAATATGTCAATTATCAATGTCACCCATAAATTATTAGTGGTGCAAATGTTGCCCCTCAATTTTCAAAACGGAATATATATTGTCCCTCCCGTACTGTGTAGGATGGGCAATATATGTATTGTTTTAAAAAATTAAGGGCAACATTTACACAATGGAAGGACACTATATGTCTATATGTACGGTTTAAAAAATTAAGGGGCATCATTTACACCACTAATAATTCAATGGTGACATTGATAATTGGCATATTATGGATGAGCATAAATTACAATTTTTCCTATGATTTTTCTTTTGTTTAGAATCGAAGATATTTCATTAAGATGATGATTTTGTCCTTAAAATATAAAATTCGACAACATTATTTCACCGTCAATTTAGCTGGAAGGACCAAATCTGATAAAAATAACAAAGTAAGACACTAAAATTAAAAAATATATTAAAATTGTGCACATAAAAAATTATAAAATCTCAAAAGTTGTGGGACAAAAAAGTGAAATTAATTTGTCTTGCTATATATATTTTTCTTATACCATCTAAAGATTTCGTTCCATTTGTAGGCGGTTTTAGAGTCTCTGTGTAACCAAAATATTAATGCCTTCTGCTTGGACATGAAGGGTCCGCTCTACGTTGCCATGTTCAAACCCCTGGGAATTGTCATTGCAGCAATTCTGAATCTCCTTTTTCTTGCAGACGCTCTTCATTTAGGCAGGTAAACACTCACAATTATTTGCAACTTTCATTCCTCTACTATCATGTCCGGCTGGAGTGTGAGATCTTAGGTGTTGAGCATATGTAATATATATAAACATAAATTTTTAATCAAAATATCAACTTAAACTTGAAAAACATGCTTGAATCTAGTATCACAACCCACCCATGATAGAGGTAATAAGTTTGAATATCTGTCTCACTAGCTTCACCTGATAAAAGAATATAAATTTATAATCTAACTACCGATTGAAATTGAGCACATGCCCCAATTCTAGGGGTAAAAGAACGGATCCTAATTCATGAGACAGGCCATGTCAATATATATATATATATATATATATATATATATATATATATATATATATATGCAAATATAATATTAATCATGAATAAAACGTTCTTTACTAAACATAATGATCTTGAGGACAAATGTAATATTTTTATGTTTTGATGTAAAAAACTAAAAATATTACTTTTTTTCGTCAAAAGTATTATATTTTTTACGTATAAGTAATAAACATTTTATTACTGACTTAGTATTACACAGGGTTGTAAAAATCAGTCTAGGCGCTAGGCGCCTCTAGACCGTGGCGATTTCCCCCCTAGGCGCCCGCCTAAGTTACCGGCCGCCTAGGCGTCCGCCTAGCGCCTAACTCGGCTGATTTGGCCGCCTAGAGTCTAAGTTAGTCGAGTTAAATCGTCAATTTCGGTCGAGTTAACTCGATCGGCTCGGCCTATTTTTTTTTGTTATATATGTGTGTGTGTGCGCGCGCGCATACATATATATAATATGACATATATACACTCGTAGACTAGTTTGATACTTTGAATCTTTGGATGATTGAAGTATTTGAGTATTTTTTATTTTTAATATTGTTTTAATGTTTTTTTTTTTTTTTTGAAAACCATTGTTTTGATGTTATGAATTATCATTAATTCATTTAGTTGGATGTGTTATTTTATTAAATGTTGAAAACAACCTCATTAAAATTGTCAAACTACAAGTCTACCACTGTTTTTTTGGCGTCCGCCTAGCGCCGCCTAGATTCCGCCTAGGCGCCGCCTAGACCGTCTAGGCGCTAGGCGCTGTCCGGGCGCCCGACTAGCGCCTAGCGCCTACTGCAACCATGGTATTACATTACTAGTATAAGTATTACATTTTATTTTAACCCGATCCGTTTCACGGATAAAGATATGTGAGATAGTCTTAGACAAGTTACGTACGTTTTGACAGTATTATTGGATCAATAATCGTTATTGTTGGATTCTACATGGTGATGTGGGGCATGTGGAGAGAGGCTATAATCATAGTTGAGCCACTGGATATTGTACGTCAAAGTGGAGATGCTAATGAAACATCCCCTCTGCTACAAAAGTAAACCGGCCTGGCCTGATCATCATGATTTACTTAAAATTAAAGATTCCATTAAAGTTGTTTAAAAAAAAAAAAAAAAAAATTCCATTAAAGTAGCTAGTGATAGATGAGGCCAATACTACTGTCTACTGCTTCATCGATCTATCTTTCCTTTATTTGTGGTGGAAAAAACACACTGCGGTAGTTGCACGTACGCGTGTTCGGTTGCATGAATGCTCCAAATTACATGCATTTACATGACATGATTGTGATTGTGATTGGTACCGGGAGATATTTTTTACTAATACTGAAATTTCATCTCAATCTAGAAAGTGGTTAAAGTCGGTGTAATATATACCTTAAGATGAAAATAATTCAATGTTTTTTTGAAATTAAAAGAAAACATTTCATTCATTAATACCCGAGGATACAATATTACAAATGAAGATAGGAGGATTGAAGGACCACTACTCTGAGCAACCAGCCATAGAAATGGGATGCTTAGCTAGCTACAGCATGAGCAGTCTAATTTTTTGGATCGATTGACAAAAGATATAAATACTTAAGTAAACTCATTTAACAAGTTTTTAATATCATATGAGATTAAATGAAAAGAGGCGTGTCTTTTTAACAGATTACAGACTTTGAACTACTCGCAGTGAATTTGTTTCAAGCACATTATATTGTCATAGTTGTATCCCTTCAATGCAACCTGTTCAAAGCTTCACGGATATAGCAATCGCCTCGCTTCTCTAAGAGAGAGAATAGCACTTTCCATTGAACTAACTCCTTTCAATTCGTTACAATAAAATCATCATGGTGATTATATATGTAACACCCAACCAATTAAACCCCATTGCGGCATCATTATTCGATCTTGTTTAGAGCAGCATTTAATTTCCTCGTTCATTCCTTGTTGAGGTTTGGTCCAGGCCAGGTCACTAGGAACTAAGTGTTATGGACGCTAGTGTTGTGAATAACATTCAAAAATTGATGTTGGAAAATTTATGAGTTGGTCCAAAATTACTTTGTCTAATTATTTTTGTAGTTGTTAGTTTTTCACTCAAATGAGTCAATCTCATTTGATTAGAATAAGTGGTCCAGCACTGGTTTTGGATTTGGATGGTTGAGAAGAGAAGCCTATGTTAGTATATAAGGGGCACTTCCCTTATTCATTAAAACACACAACAATTCATTCTTCTCTTCTTCTATTCTTCTATTCTCTCTGAGCCTCCTGTCTGAGCTCTAAGTCGGGTCCTAATGTGACTGCGAAGACCTGTGCCGGTATCTCATAGAAAGTCTGTGTGCAACCAGTGGAAAGCACCCGGTTATCCCGACAATTTGCTTTTAAGGTAGTGTATTCACACGACACAAGATTTCCTTACTTTTCCCAAATTAGCCAATATAAAAAGCAGTGCTACTGCGACATTTTCCGATACTAAACTCCAACAGTTAGGACTTAGGAGTCTTGCAATATAAGATATGCATCTATCGGGTTTGTCAACAATGCATGGGCAGCTCAATTGGTCATCTGTGGTTCAGTTGAGTTACCATGATTTACATCCTCTCAAATGTTCTGTGGGGGCCCTTGGAGTTGGAGATTCAACCTTTTGGGAAGAACAATGGCTCGGCCCTAATCATTTCTTCATCATTTCTTCATCAGATTGTTTTTTAGGGAATCAACACAATCATTTTCTAACCAAGTATAGGGAAAAGACAGTCGTTATATCGTGGACCGCGGTGTATGTGCATCGCGGTCAAAACGGTGTCGTTTCTTTAAGTAAAAAAACGGTGCGCCGTTAGTTTTAACGGAGCGCGCATTTTGTATATGTTAATTACCAACTGACACTACAATATATCTAAACTGACACTGCCTCACGTATTATTTTTATATTATCAAATGATAATGCAGTTATATCAAAATGATACTATAGTTGTGGTGAAATGATACTGCAGTGTATATAAAATGAAACTGAATAACATTTCACATATTTGAGTGTATATTGTACAATGAAACTGTAATTATATCAAAATGATCATGTAGTTGTGTTTTAATAAAACTATAATGTATATAAAATTTGTTGGGAATGTGTGGCTCAAATATTTACACATGGACCATTTCACCATGTTGGCATCTTCCACTCTCACCATAAAGCTAGCAGCTCTCTCCACGTTGCACTTCATCCCTCCTTAATGCCTATTTTCTCTCATTTAGAATAGTATAAATAGCTTTGCTTGTTTTTGTAATAATGTATCAATTCTTACATCAATTCATATATTCATTCCTTTGTTTTCCTCTTACGTAGCATATATATATATATTATATTCATTCTTTCTATTCTTTTATGTTATAATATATATATTTCCCTTATTCCTAATTCTTTTGTCATTATTTATATTTTCCCTATTATTTAACTTCTATAATTCTCAATTTTCGATTCTTCGCTTCCGCATTATTCCGCTATATTCCTAACAAGTGGTATCAGAGCGGTTTAATTGAGAGTTATTTTCAAAGATGTCAACTGTTACCAAGTTCGATATCGAGAAGTTCGACGGGAAAATTAGCTTTTCTATCTGGAAGGTTCAGATGGAAGCCGTTTTAACCCAGAACGGTTTGAAGAAAGCGCTAGCTGGGAAGAAGAAGAAACCGGCTACAATGACAGATGTAGATTGGGAAGATCTGGATGACAAGGCACGTTCAACCATTCTTTTGTGCCTGTCTAAAGAGGTTCTACGTGAGGTATTAAGTGAGACGACTGCGTCAGATTTATGGTCCAAGCTGGATACGCTTTACATGGCCAAAACTCTGGCGAACACGCTACGCCTGAAGGAGCGTCTGTACACAATCCGTATGACGGAAGGTACTTCTATTAAGTCTCACTTAGATGAATTCAATTCTATTTTATTGGACTTGGAAAATATTGATGTTATAATTGAAGATGAGGATCGCGCTGTTTTATTGCTTGTCTCTCTCCCTAGATCATACACGCATTTCAAAGAAATTATGTTGTATGGTAATAGTAGTGATACCCTTACTTTCGACAGTGTTAAGTCAAACCTATTGTCCAAAGAAAAGTTTGACTTTGAAATTAAGTCTGAGGACAAAGGTGAAGGCTTGACTGTAAAGGGTCGTTCACTTGAATCAGGGAGTAGCAATAAAAATTCTAGATCCAAGTCCAAAGGACATAAGTCCAACAAATCCTGTAAGTACTGCAAGAAGCATGGTCATGATGTGACTGAATGCTTCAAGTTGAAAAACAAGCAAGAGAGAGAAAAGAAGTCCGCTGAAGCTAGTGTTGTTGAAAGTGATTCAGATGGTGATGTGTTGTTATCTGTTAGCTCCGGTGAGAAACGGAGTGAAACCGAGTGGATTTTGGACTCTGGTTGTACATTCCACATGTGTCCTCACAAAGACTGGTTCGTCTCTCTGGAACCGGTTGATGGTGGAGTTGTCTTGATGGGTGATGATACCCAATGCAAGGTTAGTGGAATTGGAAGTGTGCAGATTAAAACTCATGATAACGTTGTCAGGACTCTTACCAATGTTCGGTATATTCCTGATTTGAAACGCAATCTGATATCATTGGGCACCTTAGAATCTCTGGGGTGCAAGTACACAGCTGAAGGTGGAGTTTTGAAGGTCATAAAAGGCTCTCTTATTCTCATGAAAGCTTCTCGTTCTGGAAGCTTGTATGTCTTGCATGGCAGTACTGTGACAGGTTCAGTAGCGGTATCCTCATCGATGTCTGATGCGGATCTCACTCAATTATGGCATATGCGTCTGGGGCATATGAGTGAGAAAGGCATGCATCTCCTGAGCAAGAAAGGTCTCCTTGGTGGTTCAGGTACGGGTAAATTACAATTTTGTGAGCATTGTATTTTTGGGAAACAAAAGAGGGTTAGTTTCTCTACTGCTACACACCGTACCAAAGATGTATTGGAATATATACATTCCGATTTATGGGGACCGACTAAATTCCAGTCTATGGGAGGCTGTAGATATTTTATGTCTATTATTGATGACTTTTCTCGTAAAGTCTGGGTCTATTTCCTGAAACATAAAAATCAAGCATTTTCTATTTTCAAGAAATGGAAAATACTTGTTGAGACTCAGACAGGTAAAAAAGTCAAGAAGCTCAGGACAGACAATGGCTTGGAGTTCTGTGAGTCAGATTTCAATGACTTCTGTGCGGCAAATGGAATCGCCAGGCACAAGACCTTGCCTGGTAAACCCCAGCAAAATGGTGTTGCCGAACGTTTGAACAGGACTCTATTGGAAAGAGCTCGTTGTATGCTCTCTAATGCTGGGTTATGGAAACGGCGTGATTTTTGGGCCGAAGCCGTTTCTACTGCTTGCTATTTGGTAAATAGATCTCCACATTCATCCCTTGATTTCAAAATTCCAGAGGAAGTTTGGTCAGGTAATCCTGTTGACTACTCTATCTTAAGAGTTTTTGGATGTCCTGCTTATGCTCACTCCAGTACGGGTAAATTAAACCCTCGAGCTGTCAAATGCATTTTCTTTGGTTATGCCTCTGAGTCAAAAGGGTATCGTCTATGGTCTCCTGATTCTCGGAAAATCATTCTGAATCGAGATATCACTTTTGACGAAAATGCACTACTTTCTTCTGAAAAAGTTCCCAGTACAGGTGAGACGCAGAGTACTGGTGAAAAGGTGGAGTTTGAGTTCAGGCCTATTGACAGTGTTACTACTGCTGATGGTAATACTAAAGATGATGCATCTACTAGCACCGCACCTCTCGTCGAGCCACAACGAGAGTATTCCATTGCTATGGATCGTCCTAGGAGGACAATTAAAAAACCTGCTAGGTATGCTAGTGATGATGAAACCAACATGGTTGCTTATGCTCTTTCAGTCGCATAGGAAGTTGATGGTGATCCATCCTGCTATTCTGAAGTTCTTCCTATTACTAAGTTCAAGCAGTGCTTGAGTTTAGTAGGTTGTTCCAGTTGTTAATTCCCACAATGGATTTGATCCAAGGTGGAGATTGTTAGGACATAAATTTTGTGGCTCAAAATCCATGCAGCCATCAATCCGTTGCAGTCCACATACGTCCCATGCAGCATTGAGGAGCTTCTTGCACATTCACCGCAATTGCCGCACAACCTTGTCTTCAATCTGCATGCCTTCCACGTCCCTTCCTTAATGCCGCTATTACCTCTATTTTCATTGTATAAATAGATAGCTTTGCTTTGTCATTCATGCATCATTCATTGTAATTGAATCCATTCATCACGTAGAGTGTAATATACATATATATATATATATATATATATATATATATATATATATATATATATATATATATATATATATATATTCCTTTATATTCTCTTTATAAGAGATTAATATATATATATTTTATATTTTCTCAATTCATCATTTTTAAATTTGTCATTTTATATAATTTTCTTCATTTATATATTTTCCCTATTATTTAACTTCTATAATTCTCAATTTTCGATTCTTCACTTCCGCATTATTCCGCTATATTCCTAACAAAATTAAATTAAATAACATTTTCACATATTTGAGTCTATAAATATCGAATGACACTGTAGTTATATCGAAATGAAACTATAGTTGTGTTGAACCGAAACTGCAGTATATACAAAATGAAATTGAATAACAGAGTTACTTTTTACAGAAAGGTGCGGGGAACGGATGCGTTTCTTTTTATTAAACAAAACGACGTTGTTTTGATGTGGGGTGCATGATATAATTTGCCACGAAAAGATATCACTTTACAAGCCTCCAAGAAGGTAGAATCTAGGAAATATCTTGCTTTGTATATCCTTGAAACCAAAGACTGAGGATTGCTTGATTATATTAGTGTTGGAGAATATTTTAAAGAATATTTTCATGCACTAAATATCTTTTATTTAAGTAATATTCCTTTTGTATTTAGCTGGTAATATTCCTTGTTATATATTACCTTTCGAGTTTTCTCCTTTCTAAGATTTTAACGTGTATATATATAATTGCCTCTGGTTAAGTAATGAAACATGCATGACAATGAGAACAAGTACTTTGAAGAATATTTCATTTAGCCTGTATAAGAAAATCCCGTTTACTTGCTGCTCCACTTCAAAATGAAGATTGCAGCTTATTAACGTTTCATTTTGAAGTGGAGCAGCAAGTAAACGGGATTTTTCTGAACTTCTTTGGGTTTAATGGGACTGCTGGGATTGGAGAATAAAAGCGTTGTAGGAGTTTGGTGGATATATGGTTGGAAAGGACAACCATTGAGGATATATATATATATATATATATATATATATATATATATATATATATATATATATATATGGATATCGCTGTCCGGGCACACCTCCATGGATGGAAGTTCATATTTCTTAATGACTTTGAGGTATTTCACTACTAGCTAGGCGCCGTTTTATTTTCAATTACATTTTTTGCTATATATATCTAATTTTTTTTGAAAACCAATCTGTCGATTGTATTAATTGATCAAAGCTATAATAGAGTCAGGCGGGATAGAATCCCAATACATAGAATAATCCTCAGGGAAGGCTAACGAAGCTAAAGTATGAGCATGCAAATTAATCTGTCTAGGAACATAGCTTAACGAAATAGAACTAAACAACGACATAATAGTTCTGCATTGGTCAATCACGACCCCAACATATGAGTAAATGGGTGTGGTTTGCTGCTGCATGGTACTCCACAAAACCATACAATCCGTGAGACAACTTGCTAATGTGATATTCCTTTCTGCAAGCCAAGAAAGTGACTCCTTATAGGCCAGAGCCTCGGCCATGAGTGGTGAGTTACAAAACTGCAATTTGCCGTTTTCTGACGGTACTAAGGTCCCCTCGGGTGATATTAGAACAATTCCATACGTGGCCTCCCCGGTTCCTTGGCGAAACCCCGCGTCCACATAGCAACGCAACGTGGCGCCGGTCTCGTGCTGATCTTGGCCCGAACTTGGCGTCGGTTCCAGCAGTGGGTGGCGGTAGTGTGCTGCGCCGAATGCCCTTTCCGCCACTGCCGCACCCTTGACCACATCGGCTAGCCGCGCCATGGTCCATTCCCACACAGCCGCATTGCGGCTTCTCCAAATACTGTATAGGACCGCTATCATGAGTCGTGTTTGCTCCTCCGTTAGGACCGTCACAGCCGTCGTTAACCATGTTGAAAAGGAATCTGTAACAATATTTGTTATAGGCAATTGTGTTATATTCCAAACTAGTGTAGAATATTCACATAACACTAAAGCATGCAACACATCTTCATGATCTAAAGCACACATTGGGCAAAGAGGGTCCACTTCCACCCTTTTAATAATCAAATTAGTGGTAGTGGGTAAGATATCACATATGGCTCTCCACAAAAAGGTCTTCCATTTGGGTGGGACTTTCAACTTCCACATCTTCACCCATTAATCAAAAGTTCCTGGGTTACTCTCAAAATCACCCACAATTCGCCTATAAGCATTTTTTACTGTATATGTCCCTTTCGGGTCCCCCATCCAATACCATGAGTCATCATAGTCAGGGCTTACAGGGATCTTAAGTATTCGGTTCACATCCTCAGGGATAAAAATATCAGATAAGATATGTGGATCCCATGTGCTTGATTGTGGATCAATCAGACCTGTAACTCGCGCCTCTCTTAACTCTTCCAGAATATTTGTTTGTATCAAGGGGCTAGGACCATCCGGCAGCCATGGATGACCCCATATCAGAGTTGACTGTCCATTCCCAATCCTGCGTCGCACCCCAGCCGTGACTGTAGGGTGAGCCGCCATTATACTCCTCCAACAGAAACTCAGGCATCTCCCAATAGTAGCATCAACAAAACCAGTAGTGGGGTAATAACGAGCCTTATATATTCTTGTAGCAAGTGATCCTGGATTGGTAAGAAAACGCCATGCCTGTTTTCCTAACATAGCCAGGTTAAAAGCTCTTAATTCCTTAAAACTCAAGCCCCCATACTTTTTAGGGACACACAACATATCCCATGCCTTCCAATGTATTCCCCTGTCTCTTCCACTTCCCCACCAGAATTTATTCATGGTTCGCTCAATGGACTGACAAACTGTTTCAGGCAATAAAAAGATACTCATTGAAAACGTAGGCATAGATTGTGCTACGCTTTTCAACAACACTTCCTTACCCGCCTGAGATAACATCTTTTTACTCCATGATCCAATCCTTTGCCTGATTTTTTCCTCCACATAAGCAAACACAGCTCTCTTATTCCTACCCACAAAAGATGGCAGGCCAAGGTACTTTCCAAAGTTGTCAGCCTGCTCAACCTCCAGGCATCCTGCAATTTGCATTATATCCACTCATGCAGTATTCCGGCTAAAACATATATTGGACTTATTATAATTTACCATCTGCCCAGACAAATTTTCATACCTTACCAAACATTGCTTTATGACACCAGCTTCTTGAGTATTTGCTTTGAAAAAAAGCAGACTATCATCTGCAAAAAACAGATGTGATACTAGAGGTGCCCCCCTGGCGACTCTACACCCGTGTATTGATCATGTCCCCTGTTCCTTTTGCAACGACATAGAAAGCGCCTCAGCACAGATAATGAATAAATAAGGGGAGAGAGGATCCCCTGTCTTAGACCACGAGTCGGTTTGACCCGCGCCCCTACCTCACTATTAACCATCACAGTATAATTCACAGTTGTAACACATAGCATTATAAGTTGGATCCACTTCTCACTAAATCCTAACACAACCAACATCCTCTCCAGGAACTTCCACTCCATTCTGTCATAAGCTTTTGACATGTCTAATTTCAATGCACTCCAGCCCACAGCTCCACACTGTTTCCTGTTCAAGTAATGACCCACCTCCGCCGCGACCAAGATGTTATCCGTTATTAGCCTGCTAGGAATAAAAGCACTTTGGGACTCAGAAATAAGATCACTCATAAGTGTTTTCATTCTATTGGTTAACATCTTAGCCATAATTCTATATATGACATTACTTAGGGCAATCGGTCTTAAATCTGCAACTGTTTCGGGCACTTCCTTCTTGGGTATTAAGATTATGTTGGTGTCATTTAACCCCTCTGGGAATTCACCTGAGTTTAACGCATGCATTATAAACCGAGTCACATCCTCTCCAACTACTGACCAAAATTGCTGATAAAAGCCCGAATTCATCCCATCTGGGCCCGGTGCTTTATCCGGAAACATTGAAAAAAGAGTTGTTTTAACCTCCTCCCCATTAAATGGGCGATCCAACATCACATTTTGCTCATCAGACACACGGGGGGCAAAATCATCAAAAAGGGAATCATCACAACATAAATTATTAGAAGCAAAAATACCCGTAAAATAACTCAAAATCGCCGCATGCATATCGGTGCCCTCAACCCAATCACCAACATCATTCTTTATACTAGCTATATATATCTATAAGTTACTAGTGTTTATATATTACGATAAAAGTGTATTTAAATTTGATGATGTAATGTGTAAGAAAACCCAAAAAAAAAAAAAAAAAAAAAACAATAATTTTTTTATAGAACTTTATCTTCAAACCAAACATAATTTGCAGTAAGTTTGTCCAAGTCAACTTCGCAAAGGAAGATAGAGTAGCAGGAAGGTTCTCAAAGACAATAAGACAGGTGTTTAGTAACTTCCAATTCATTATGAAAGATTGTGAGACAGTGAAGGTGAAACAACAAGTCCAACAACTAGATAAGAAGCAGTTGTAGTGCGTAAAGGAAATTTATTACCAAAAAGAAAATATCAAAATTCAGTTCCGATTCGTTACAAAAATTCAAGGCGCATAACACTCACTTTTTTTAAAATTGATTTGCACTCCTAAAAGTGTTAAGAGCGTTGAATTTTTTAGTTTTCATGTATGATACAATGCATTATAATGAATATATTTAATTTGAACACATAAATATAAACACTTTCGGCTATCAAGAACAAGGAAAAACACTTCTGATTTTTCTTCAAGTTTATTTATTTGTGTTGATTAGTTTTATATTATAATTGGTAAATATATAGAAAAGAAATGATACTTCGTATTAGAATACATTTGGTTTAATATAGTATTTAATAATGGCAAAAACTTGTATTTGTGAGATGCGTTGGGTTAATATGAAAATGTAATACTTATACTAAAAAATGTAACATTTATACTACAAAATGTAATACTAATTAGGAATAAAGTGTTTGTTACTTATAAAGGAAAGTATAACTTCTTTTTTTTTTGAACGCTAATTTTTTTTTTAGGGTGTGTTTGGAAACCTGGAAAATGAGTTCTGGAAATCATTTTCCAAGTTTCCAGTGTTTGGATGTGCCTGGAAAATCAAGTCAACGGAAAATGATTTCCGTTGACTTTGGAAAATAGGCTTATTTTGGAGGAAAATGACTTCCCATTTTTTTGGGGGGAAGTCATTTTCCAACTTGTACACCAACATCACACCACCACCATCATCAACACCATACCACCATCACCACCACTATTGCCGCCGCCACCACCACTATACCACCGCCACCACCAACACCGCAACCACTACCACCACCACCACCGCCACCATACCACCGCCACCATCGCCGCCGCCACCACCACCACATACCACCGCCACCACACCACCACCTTCACACCACTACCGCCGCCACTACCACCACCATACCACCGCAACCACCGTCGCCGCCACCACTACCACCATACCACCGCCGCCGCCATCACCACCATACCACCGCAACCACCGCCACCATAACACCGCAACCACCACCACCACCACCACCATACCACTACAACCACTGTCGCCGCTACCACCGCCACCACCACCATACCACCACAACCACCATCGCCGCCACCACTACCACCATACCACCGCCACCGCCATCACCACCATACCACCGCCACCACTACCACACCACCGCCACCACACCACCACCTTCACACCACCGCAACCACACGACCACTGCCACCACCGTCATACTACCACCACCAACACCACTACCGCCGTCGCCGCCACCACCAGCATACTACCGCAACCACCGTCGCCGCTGCCACCACCATACCACCGCAACCACCGCCACCACCATCACATCGCCGCCGCCACCACCACCACGACCATACCACCGCAACCACCACCGTCGCCACCACCACCATACCACCGCCACCACACCACCACCGTCATACCACCACCAATTATTATTATTATTATTATTATTATTATTATTATTATTATTATTATTATTATTGTTGTTGTTGTTGTTGTTGTTGTTGTTGTTGTTGTTGTTATTATTATTATTATTATTATTATTATTATTATTATTATATAACGAATAAAACCACTACCACTACACCACCACCACCACCATAATATTTTTGATATATTATTAATTTTTTTTTTTGAAAAACTTAGCTATTTTTATTATATTTAAAATTAATATTATATTATTATATATTATTATACATGTTGTAATATTCTAAATAAAATAATTAAAATGTTTAATTATACAATTCTACTCATTTTCCAGAAAATGAACCAAACACAGAAAAACAGTTTTCCATAATGCAACCAAACACTGGAAAGGAAAATGTTTTCCGGAAAATGACTCATTTTCCAGAAAACATTTTCCAGTGTTTTCCGGACCCTTAAAGTAATACTTTTATATTTTTCTTCAAAAGTATTACTCTGTACATTTTTTCATCAAAAAGTATTACACTTCTCTTTATAAGTAACACACATTTTATTCCTGGCTAGTATTATTTTTTCAGTATAAGTATTGCATTTTCATCCTTACTTTACATGTCTCGTGGATAAGGATTTGTAGGACGATCTCACGGAAGAGTCACTCTTTAATAATTAGGTAAATTATTTTGGTAAATAATGTATTCAAGGTAAACGTAATTACGTAATTGATTTAGTAATTAATACTCCGTAACTAATTAACTAATGAAATAATTAAAAAAAATGAAATAATTAACAGTGAAAGGGAAATTTAATCTGAAAAGATTACAGTAAAATACTTTTAAAATAACATATAACTTGAAAAATATAAAAGAATATGAACATAATTCAAAAATATAACCTCCGTTAAATGATATAAGTTAGGTAAACTTACATCAATTGTGTTTTGCCCCTCATTAAAGGCAATTTGCTCATAGGTACTAATTCATAACAGTAGATCGAATACCAAATCTGATACCTTAAAGTCAAACTCAACTGATTCAATTAGACAAGTTTGACAATGACTAATTTGAAAGTGTCAAATTAACTTTAATTTCTCTATACAAAAAGATATTTGGTATGTAGTGAACTTTATCTTTGCGGGAGTTGTACGTGTTTGATTTTCACCTTTCGATTTCTATGTTAAAAATATTGTGTCTCATTTATTATTTCTCTTCATTATTCATTTATTACTTGTTTTTCGGTAATATTGGACCATCATATGATTACCTTCAAAAAACCCTAAAATCAACATTGGCGCTGTTTGTGGGGGTTGATACAAAAGGTCACGTGGTTCCTACCCCAACAAATCAACAATCCCATATTTAAGTACGCACCTGCATGGAAAATTTGGGTCCGTGTACATACTATGACGTGGCAAGCGTAAAGGCAATTATATAGGGAAGTCGCGTGCGTTCTGTACAGGACAATTATAAAACATTTTATAACTGATATAAATATTACATTTCATTTTGACCCGATCCATTTCACGTATAAGGATATGTGAGACCGTCTTAAACAAGTTTTTACTATTAATTAAAATCTAATTATAACGTACATTTTGACAGTATTATTGGATCAATAATCGTTATTGTTGGATTCTACATGGTGATGTGGGGCATGTGGAGAGAGGCAATAATCATTCTTCCAAAAGGTTGAACCCCAACCCTAAGGATCCCCCACACCCCGGCCCAACAGAGCATTTGGAAGGATGTAAATCATGGTGACTCAACCATATAGGCTAGACCTTTGCTCACTGCGCACAAGAAAGCCCCTCACTTTGAGAGGTTACTCTCACACTGTCGCTGGTGAGACTCGATCCCTGGTCATTCTTCCAAAGTTTCACCTCTGTGACCAGTTGAGCTGCCCATGCGGGTAGAGAGGCAATAATCATAGTTGAGCCACTGGATATTTTGCGTCAAAGTGGAGCTGCTAATGAAACATCCCATCTGCTACAAAAGTAAACCGGCCTGGCCTGATAATCATGATCAGGGCCGGATTTTAGGCTGTGCAAGCTGGGCTACCGCACAGGGCCCCCAATTTTAGAGGGGCCCCAAATTTTATAGGTCCAATATTTAATTTTTACCTAGCTAGTTTAGAAATAAAAATTAAGAGTTTTCAATTAAACTTAAAAGGTTCTATGAAGAGATGGTAAAAATGTATATTTATTGTATTTTAACTTGGAGGTCAAAGGTTCGAAACTTGCATGTATTGATTTTAAAAATTGTGATTTTGGTAGGGCCACATTTATTTACCAGAACAGGGCCACCAAAATTTAAAATACGGCCCTGATCATGATTTACTTAAAATTAAAGATCCATTAAAGTTGTTTCAAAAAAAAAAACATTCCATTAAAGTAGCTAGTGATAGATGAGGCCAAATACTGATAAATGTTCTGTAGTAGTGAACTTTATTTGTGGTGGAAAAAACACACTGCGGTAGTTGCACGTGTTCGGTTGCATGAATGCTCCAAATTACATTTACATGACATTATTGTGATTGTGATTGGTGCATGGAGATATTTTTTACTAATACTGAAATTTCATCTCAATCTAGAAAGTGGTTAAAGTCGGTGTAATATATACCTCAAGATGAAAATAATTCAATGTTTTTTTTAAAAAAAATTAAAGGAGAACATTTCATTCATAAATACCCGAGGATAAAATATTACATTATTACAAATGAAGATAGGAGGATTGAAGGACCACTACTCTGAGCAACTAGACATAGAATTGGGAACAAGTACTTTGAAGAATATTTCATTTAACCTGTATAAGAAAATCCCCTTTTTCTAAACTTCTTTGGGTTTAATGGGACTGCTGGGATATGATTGGAGAATAAAAGCGTTGTAGGAGTCTGGTGGATATTGATAATACAATGCATTATAATGAATATATTTAATTTGAACACATAAATATAAACATTTTCGGCGATCAAGAACAAGGAAAAACACTTCTGATTTTTCTTCAAGTTTATTTATTTGTGTTGATTAGTTTTACATTATAATTGGTAAATATATAGAAAAGAAATGATACTTCGTATTAGAATACATTTGGTTTAATATAGTATTTAATAATGGCAAAAACTTGTATCGATGACATGGGTTGGGTCAATATGAAAATGTAATACTTATACTAAAAAAATGTAATACTTATACTGTAAAATGTAATACTAATTAGGAATAAAGTGTTTGTTACTTATAAAGAAAATAGTGTAATACTTTTGAAAAAAATGTAAAACTTTTACATTTTTCTCAAAAGTATTACGGAGTATATTTTTTCATCAAAATTATTACACTTTTCCTTATAAGTAGCAAACATTTTATTCCTCGCTAGTATTATATTTTTCAGTATAAGTATTGCATTTTCATCCCGCCAACCGACCCGTCTCAATGATAAAGATTTGTAGGACGGTCTCACGAAAGAGTCACTCTTTAATAATTAGGTAAATTATTTTGGTAAATAATGTATTCAAGGTAAACGTAATTGATTTAGTAATTAATACTTCCTAACTAATTAATTAACGAAATAATTAACAGTGAAAGGGCAATTTAATCTGAAAAGATTACAGTAAACTACTTTTATTTAAAATAACATACAACTTGACAAATATAAAAGAATATGAACATAATTCAAAGATATAACCTCCGTTAAATGATATAAGTTAGGTAAATTGTTTTGCCCCTCATTAAAGGCAATTTGCTCATAGGTACTAATTCATAACAGTAGTTCGAATACCAAATCTGATACCTTAAAGTCAAACTCAACTGATTCAATTAGACAAGTTTGACAATGACTAATTTGAAAGTGCCAAATTAACTTTAATTTCTCTATACAAAAAGATATTTGGTATGTAGTGAACTTTATCTTTGCGGGAGTTGTACGTCTTTGGTTGCATGGAAAGCTCCAAAATACATTTACATGACTTGATTGTGATTGTGATTGGTGCATGGAGATAGACGATGCTAGATGCACCGACATTATCACTCACAACTTTGTCACTCGATTTAATTTTGACGTGTCAAGTTCTAATAAGTTGATATTTTTTTAAAAAGTCTATTAAAATTTGTCACATACATCAAAAAGTGACAAATTTGTGAGTAACATTTGTAGGGATCAGATAAATATAAATAGCATTTTCCTATCTACTAATACTGAAATTTATCTCAATCTAAAAAGTGGTAAAAGTCTGTGTAATATATACTTCTAGATGAAAATAATTTAATGTTTGTCATCAACAAATGTAGTACTTATATACATGTGTTATTTTTATTATATGTAACATTCAGGCTTTAAAATTTTAATCTTTAAGGCACTATTTTCATATAATTGAAAAGAAATATATTATTGGTGTGTTTTTCATAATAGATGAGAAAGTTTAGTCTTCAAAAACTTTTGTATGACATGGTGTATGTTGCATGGAAAGCTCCATATATAATAACCAGATTGTGAGACATTTTTGTCTTTTCATATTTTTCTTTTGTTATTTTTCCGATTTTAATCAGTTTAATTGGTTTAGACTGTGGTCCACACAATAATTTGGCTAGTGGTTCATGGCCTAGTATTCCCAATCGTTATATCCTACACCACGGCGCACATAGCACTGTGCGCCGCGCGCCTCCCAAAACGATGTCGTTTTGGGGTAGTGTTGGGAGGCGCGGTAGGAAGTTGCTGAGATTATGTGTATTTGTTCACAACGTTATGTGTATTTGTTCACAACGTTATGTGTATTGGTTCATACAGTTATGTGTATTTTTTATACAATTATGTACATTCTTTTTATACAATTATGTACATCCGAATCAAAAAATTTGTGTGTATTATGTTAAGAGTTGATGTGTATTATGTTAAAAGTTTATGTTTATTATGTATTATGTTAGATTATGTGTATTATCTTTTAAAAAGAGTATGTATATTTTGTTATATAATTATGTACATTCATGTATAACATTATGTGTATTCTAGTATAACATTATGTACATTTTTGAACAGCGGGTTTTTTTTAAAGAAAAAACTACTGTCATTTACTGGGGCGGGAAATTTCAAAAAAAAAAATAATAATAATTAAAACGACGTCGTTTTGCATCTGGGCACATAGTGCAACGCGCGTCGTGGTGTAGGATATAAATTGCCTAGTATTCCTAGTAAAGAACAATGTTGTGGGCCTTGTGGCCTAGCTCTAAAGCGCACGTTATGATCAGTACTAGACCTAACATGGCGCGGTGGCGCCCATCTACTCCAACTCTGTATTAGTAATACAAGAGGCTGCATGATGTTAGGATTGGTCGTAGAGCGCGACATATCGTTAGAAAGGGTAGGGTATGTTAGAGGCAAATTATGCCCTGGACCATTGTGGACACGGGCCCAAAACGATGTCGTTTTTTCAAAAAAAACACGTCATTTAGTTATTAAAAAAAAAAAAAAATCGTGCGTGTTTTGGCGTTAACGGCGTTATTATTTTTTGGATTGAATGTACAGTTATGCCATTATGAATGTACAGTTATGCAATTATGAAATTATGAACACAGAGCTCTAACATTATGAACTTACAATTATGAACATATAATGATAAAATTATGACCATGGAGCTTTAAAATTGTGAATATAGCGCTTCGAAGATTATGAATGTACAGTTATGGAGTTATGAATGTACAGTTATGGAGTTATGAATCTACAGTTATGGAATTATGAATGTACAGTTATTGATCGAATTATGAACAAAGAGCTCTGACATTATGAACTTACAATTATGAACATATAGTGATAAAATTATGAACATAGAGCTCTAAAATTGTGAACATAGAGCTTCGAAAATTATGAATATACAATTATGGAGTTATGAATGTACAGTTATGGAGTTATGAATGTACAGTTATAGAGTTATGAACGTACAGTTATAGAGTTATGAATGTACAGTTATTAACATATAGTAATAAAATTATGAACATATACTCCTATAACGAAGCGGTCTGAAATTAAAAATTAAAAAAAAAAAAAAAAAAAAAAAAAAAAAAAAAAAAGAAGGAGATAACAAAAGGCACTGTTACCGGTGTCTAACATGCATGATGGACACGGGTCCATAGCATACCGATTGGTATGTATACCACGAAAGCCGACATATGAAGATAGATTAGAAATTGGTAAGTTTAGTAAGGTTTAGGGAAGAAATATCCGGTCAAATATATTCTTCTTTACGGGGCGTTTGGTGGGAGGGAATTTAAATTCCATTCCCACATAATTTCAAAGGCCATAAAATTCTTTAGTTTGGTTGGAAAGAATTGCAATTCCATGGAAATTGCAATTCTCTCATTTTCATGGAATTAAAATCTCATGTCCCCCCTAGGATTTTAGGAAGAAAAAAAAAACTAGTGATGAGACAAAATTACCCCTCCCTTTTTTAATCTAAAATTAATACCACAACAACTACAAGAAAAATTGTGAATCGCAACGAAATTTTTCCGTCGTGAATGGGTAATATTCCGTCGCGAATCGCGTTTTGCAACAGAATGGTGATAGAATTTATTCCATCATATATCACTTTGTCGTATTTTGACAGACGACGGAATATTTCGTCGCAACTTTTGGCGATGGATTATTTTCGTCGCCATTTGGCGAGGGAAGTATTCCGTCGCACATTTCGCAACGGAACTGTAACACCCCGTGTTACGACCCCTAAGATCAATTAAATCATTTAATCAATTACCCAAAAGAAAGAATTAAATCACAATAATTAATTAGGAAGGCCCACCATAGTCCACGGGTCCTTATCCCTAAACCCAATCCTTAGTCCCAAAAGAAATAGAACTAGCAAGCCCATAATATTAGTTCCTAACTAGGACACCTAAATATATAAATAGGGGACTTAAGAGGCACCTAGAACCCTCCCCACAAGATTAACGCCCCACCACCCCAAAAGAGCTCCAAGAATCCCCTTAGGAGAAATCAAGAAAGCAAGAAAGCTTAAAGAAAGACCCTTCATAGCCAAGGAATTAATTAAGGCTAAGAGGTAACCCATGTCTCAACAAAACCTATTTTCATAGTTATGATTTCCCCCGTAGGATTTCCCCATATTATTGTGTATTGATGATTTGTGATGTTATTATTGATGATTGATGGGATAATTCCATGGGTGATCTTGATATCGGGAGATTCTTGATAATTATGGTGTTCTTAACGATTATGTGGAGTTCGTGATGATTATATGTTGCTCTTGATAATTGTATGGCATTCTTGATGCTTGTGTGTTATTTGTACCGAATCTTGTAATTAGAAGACGAACCGTATTCTTGTTGATGTAAAAGTGATTAGAACCCTAGGTTGTATCGTATGATATTATTATTGGTGTATCGGGTGGGGAAATCGCATGTTTGGGTGTCAATTATGTTTAGAAAAGCATGATAGGTTATGTGACGTACGTTTCTCGTATTTGATCCGTTGATTGTCTACGTGTTGATCGTTAATTGCGTTGTAAAGTGTCTAAGCATGGTTTCGGATTCCACAACGGTTCCCGGGGCGTTTTGTGTATAAAGAGTCAGTGGGGGGTAGGTGGGGGGTAGGGGACCCGCCACCTACCCGCGGTCAAAAGAGGGCAGTCCCGGCAGCGGGCAGCTGCCCGCCGGCGACCCGCTGCCCGGAACAGTGTTACCGGCGGGTGGCCCCCCACCCACCGGCTACCCGCTGGAAATTCTCATTCGGGACCCCGGCCTCCCCGTTTGATGTTTCCCCGATCCCCGTGGTGTCCCAACAGACTCCGTCTATCGTGCCTATGTCTAGTTGGATATTTCGGGTACTGTTCGTAGGTTGTATGAGTCTTATATATTGCATGCTAGTTGAATTGGTATCCCGTTGACCTAGGTGGAAGAAGCATGAACCCCTTAGGATTATTCTTAGTATGTGAAGGATCACGCATAGGTTTTGTTATACGTTTTCTCCCCCTTCCCAATGTGTTAATGTGGGTTGCATGTGCTTGCTATGTGTTATGTGTGCATGATACCCCAATTCGGTTGCAATCGGATTGGTTATTCCTGAGCTGCGGTCAGATTTACACTCTTGGGCTGCGGTCCACCGTTTGGTTGCGATCAAACGTTTCCACATGAGCTGCGGTTCATACTTTCCTGGCTGCGGTCAGATGACATTCTCTTGGGCTGCGGTCCATTGTTTGGTTGCGATCAAACATTATGATGAGCTGCGGTTCATCGGTCGGTTGCGATCGACCCCTCCGTGTTGCGATACGGGGCAGGGTGCTGCAGGGCCGTGTCAGAGCTATATGCGCTGACCCTCATGTATGGGCATGCGATTGGTCCTGTGGCGCCAACAAAGTGTGCTATGTATTGAGATATGGATGAGTTGTGATTATGAGTATCTTGGGGGTTGTGACTATGGGATTTATGTTGGGGATTGTTTACGTTAGGTTATGATTATTAATGGTGCTCAGCTTTATCTGTCTTGCCTGTTGTGGATTGTATAAGCTTGTTATAATTGTTGCTTGTGTCTAGCCTTATCTGTCGAGTCATCCCCGGATTTAAAAGCTAGAGTTCGTAGGATATATCTTCATGCTCAAAATGGTTTTCGTATATCTATATATATCTCTATATGTAATGTATTTCAACGCGTTGGAGTGGGTTACCAACATCTCTCGCTGAACAGATATATTTGGCTTTCAGGCACAGAAGAATAAGTCACTGGAGCGTGCTAGAACTTGGAACGTAGAAGTAGATAGCTTCCTCCTCGGCCTGCGTGACATGCTTATGCATTTACATTATTGAGGATATTAGTTAGTTAGCCAGTGCACCTGAGTTCTCTAGCTCAGGTGTGACATAGCACCTCGTACTCTTGTATTATGTTTTGGGATTTAATGAGATTTCACCCTTATTTTATAAGCCTTAAATGTCTTGAAAATCTGGGGTGTTACAGGAACTGTTTCCGTCGCAAATTCGTCGTTAATTCTGAACCGAATATTACGTCGTCATATTATCTTTTCAGTCGCCCATTTCGCAACATAAATGTTTTCCGTCGCATCATTGTTAACAATTGGCGTTTTGGACTTTATACTCAGTGCCGTTCCAGGCCATGTTTTGCCGGAGCGACCGCACAGGGCCCCCAATTTTGGGGGGTCCAATTTTTTTTTGAAAAATATTTTAGACATAATCTATTATTTTTATACTTGACAATTATTTTTAAAAAAAATTTATAGATTGGTCTTAATTGTAATTGAAAATAAAATATTAGAAGCAATTGACATCGAAATTTTGGTGAAAAATTTTGTATTTAAATTTAAAATCGAAATTTTGGTGAATAATTTTTTATTTAAATATAACCGAAAAATGACACTTTTATATTAACTTTTGAATTGTATTATTTTTTTGTTAATTTTTTTATGCAATATATTTAGACAAAAATTTTAATTGTATTTTTATTTTTGTTATCGAATATAATAACTTGGAGTCCAAATGGATTTGAGCTCAATTACCTCATTTATAGATATTTTCTAGATCTTCTAGACTTCTATCTTTATCTTTCAGAGGTCTTTTGAGATCATGTTTCTTACCTTTATAAATAAAAATCTCTATCACTACAACGAAATTTAAATATTTAAACATTCTCTCTCTCCCCCTATGTTCTTGTCTCTCTATTATTGTTTTTGTCTTTGCAGTTTACTATATTATATATAGATTGGTCCATATTAAATTATTAGACAGGGCCCCTATTTTTAATGGAACGGCCCTCTGTTTATACTACTTATTCCCTTTCAATTCCCAAGTATACCAAACATTGGTAAATTATTGTATGGACCATGGTCCAGACAATGTTATGTGGACCAAAATAAAAAGTACATTTTTAACATACTAAATCTACATTATTTTTGTACTAAATGTACATTATACAATATAATGTACACTCAGAACAAAAATAATGTATATCCCCTGTATGCAATATACATTATTTTTGTACTGAATGTACATTACTTTATAATAGACAAAATATGGTCCACACAATAATGATTGCCAAACATTGGAATTGATATTTTCAGTAATTCTATTCCTGTAAACCAAACACTGAAATTTAAATTCCAACTTTATTTCCAATAATTCATCTCCCATGAAATTACAATTCTTTTTCCACGTCATTCTCCTTTCCAACCAAACGCTCCGTTAAGGGCATGCCATTATATATCCCTCCAAAATGAAGAGTTACATCTCCAACATGTACTCATGGCATGTTAGTTGTCGCTAACATCCATTATGGATATATATGTCTCTTCAAAGAAAGCATACCAACCACTACAAAATCCGCTTTTTAGGGATACTTGTTATACTTCCATTGCACTGATGATCCTCGTAGAGCAAGGAAGTGAGTGACTAATTATGAAATATATTCCAATAGGCAAGCCTAGCCCAACCGCAAAGTGAAATATATTCTCAAAGTGAGTCTCACCAGCAATAGTGTGAGAGCAACCTCTTAAAGTGAGGGGACTTTTTGTGCACAGTAAGTAAAAGTTTAGCATCTGTGGTTCATGTTCAGTTGAGTTACCATGATTTACATCCTCCCAAATGCTTTGTCAGATCGGAGTGTGAGGACCCTAGCCTTAGAGTTGGGGTTCAACCTTTCGGAAGAATATATGCTCATTTTCTTGATAAGAGAAATAGCCTACTGTTTATAATACAAATTAATGGTTGAAACGCTCAAAAGGGAGCGAAGCAAAACTTAATAAGAGTGTGGTCACATTTAACTTATCATATTCCTCACAACTCTTTGTTCTTGCTCTTCTCCACCCCAATATTCATTAATCATGGCACTAAGTCTATTCAAGTGTTGACCTATCAACACCTTGAATTAGTAACCCCTGTCAATTATTATTATTATTATTATTATTATTATTATTATTATTATTATTATTATTACATAGCAAATTTGACATTACAAAAATATCCTATTCCAGAGCTTTTATATATTAGAATAGTTATTCAGGAAAATGGTTCATTCTTGAGAATAAAAAGTCTTACCAAATGATAAAATAGACTTAATCACAAAAAAATTATTTCATTTCCGACTTATTTCGTAAATTAAGTTTGCTATTAGTGAATTAGGGGTAGATGAGTAAAGTAGAAAACGTGATTAGTTGGGCAAGTATATATTATAGTAATGCTTTTACTAATTGTGCTTTGCGACTCAATTGTTATACCGTGGACCATGGTCCACATAGCACTGTGTGGATCATAATTATCGATTGAAACTGTAGTAGAATTAAAATGATACTTTAGTACGTATTGCTATAATGAAACTAGTGTGTGGAGAATGATCGAAACTAAAAAACAGATGACATTATTGTCAAATGAAATTGTAATATAATTAAAATGATATTTTAGTGTTGCTATAATTAAACTAGCGTGTTTGAAAAAATAAACTAAAATCCAAAGCTATACGATAACATATATTGTCAAATGAACCTGAAATGTAATTAAAATAATACTTCAGCATTACTATAATTAAACTAGTATTTGTGAAAAATGAACTAAAAAAATGGAGTTGATGTAATAATGTATATTGTCAAATAAAACTATAGTAGAATTAAAATGATACTTTGAATAATGAGACTATGTCCGCCTGTGAAAATCTTAGGTTACATTCCAAAATATATATAAATAAATAAATAAATAAAAATTATAGTACTTGCATCCTTAGAGCTAGATGCCTACAATTCGATCAACGAGAAGACCACGAGGTGTCTTAGCAGACCCTAACTATATGAGAATTGAAGCTCGTACTATACTCAGACTAATTATCGTTCGCACTGGACCGACGCAATTAAGTGACAAAGTACTTGCCATATTAATTTTTTTTACACGAGAGGAGATTCGAACACCCGACCCCTCTTAAGCGATAAGAGTGCACGGTCACTTACGTTAACCAAGCTAGTTATGATCAACGAGAAGATAGATCACTATGTTGAGTTACCGCGAAAAAAATTATAGTAATGCCTACACCATTAGTATCAATTAGGCCGGGGGCCACGAGATGTGTTTTGCCCCCTTATAAGGAAATTTCACTTTATTACCATTACATGCATATTTCCTCCTTGACTAGTGAATTGCCTGATTGAGTACGTTAGGAATGCTATGGGTGAAGAAAGCTCATACTTAGGCTCTGTTTGGCAGAGCTTGCTTATAGCTTATTTTAAACTATTAATAAGCTATAAGCTTTGTTTAATAATGTCCCAAAATAAATTCCTAGCTTAAAATAAGAGTTTATTTTAGAACGCTACTTTAGGTAGCGTTTCAAAATAAGCTCCTAGCTTCCTAATTTTTTTTCCATCTTTATCCTTATTATTTTAAAGAAATCACATAATTTACCCTCCTAATTAAAATCATTTTCTCTTCTCCTTTATCCGCAACTTTCACCCGCAAATATTATTATTATTATTATTATTATTATTATTATTATTATTATTAGATTTGCAACAATATTACTACTTCATTATGAGATGCTAGATCATGATTATGCTAATAGTTTTATTTCAAAATGTTTTTTTTTAACGACAAAATGTTAAATTTTAATATGTAAACAAACTAATTTAAATTTTATGAAGATGTCTTTTTTAGTCTTTTTACCTTTATCAGCTTATCAAAAAGCTAATTTTACCAAACACTTTCAATCATAACAGCTAACTTAACAGCTTTTCATTTTTCAGCTCCGAGCTTATAGCTTTTCAGATTTCAACTCCTTTTCAGCTTTCAGCTTTCAGCTCCTAGCTTATAACTTTTCAGCTAGGTTTGCACAGAGCCTTAGCAAATTTTGACAATATGAGATGACCTAACCACGTGCATGCATTTATAATTACGTACATTGTCTGTAACTTAATTACCCAATATTTAGTTAGTAGGTGAGATTAGTGCTCATAGGTCTTGGTACTAATTCATAACACTACAATATATATACTAATAAATTTTGATACCGTAATTACCTTTAAGTCAAATTTTAAATTGTGAATATTCAGTATATAAATTGTGTATTTTGACTCTAAATCTATTTGGTGGACTCGAGTCCGTGGCATAACTATTGATCTTGGTTCTTCATTTTAAAGTAACCCCACCAACTATAAAAAAGCTCCTGCTAATTCGCGTGAGGCACAACCAATGTCCCACTATGTGGCCGTTGGGCACGTTATTTCCTTTCATGTTTCTTTTTTTTTTTTTTTCTTCTTCTTCTTTCACTTTTTTTTTTTTTTTCATTTTCTCTTCCTAGTCACACCTAAACTTCAAAAAGAAAATGATACGTGTACTCCCATTTTGTACTCTCACACACAAAATCGTAGACACTTGTATTGGGATCGACATGAAAAAAATAACTTGTTAAATCCGTCACAAAGTAAAATTTAGGAAGTAAGATTAGGCAGTACATGTAATGTAGTAGAACTCACTTCAAAAACTACCACTATTGAGGATGTTGTGTGCTCATAGGTCTTGGTAATGGGTACTAATGCATAGCATTATCAAATTACGCAATCACGACGTTGACGTACTATTTAATTTGAAAACTCAACTCAACATTTCAGTTCGTCTCTATACAAATATATATATCCCGTATGCGTATGCATCTGAAAGTGGTTTCAGAGAGCGGCCATGGCAATGGGAAATGAGATTCTGAGAAAGGAAGTTCTTCCATTTGCAGCAATGGTAGTAGTGGTGTGTATGGAGATGGCAACATCCACAATAGCCAAAGCAGCCCTTAATTCCGGGCTAAGCTCTCTTATTTTAGTGCTTTACTACAATTTCCTTGGCATCCTCCTTCTTCTTCCTGGATTCTTCATCCAGAGACACAGGTTTAACAGATCACTCCAATTTCAATTCCAATTCGTCTACCCAAATTTCCAAATTTAAATCCTGCATTTACTGTCCTGTTTCAGAAGGAACCCACTGCCTATAACGTTGTCTATTCTGAGTAGATGTTTCATCCTTGGCCTGATCGGGTAATACATTGATGAAATTTGTGAAAGGGGAGAATTGAAGATCTTACTTACTAAGAGATCAAAACAGTTTATTATAATGAATTATGATATTGCAGGACATGTTTGGTGATGGGTTTGGGTTTCCAAGGGCTCAAGTATAGCTCTCCTACTCTGGGTGCAGGCATTAGTAACTTGATGCCTGGTTTTACATTTGTTCTTGCCATGATTTTCAGGTATATATAATATAATGCTGGTTTAATTTTAGCAGCTAGCTAGCATGCTTTTGAGTTTTGTCTCTCAACTTCCATGAATTTAGGATGGAGAAGTTTGAGGTGAATAGAAGAACATGGCAAGCAAAATCAGTGGGCACAGTTCTTTCAATTATAGGGGCATCTATCATGACTCTATATCAAGGACCAACAATCTTGGGATCATCTTCATCTACTTTGCCTTCTGATTTGCCTTTATATTCCTCAAAGTGGGTGCTGGGGGGTGTTATGATTCTAGCCGTATACCTTTTTGCATCTGGGTGGAACATTTTGCAGGTACAATATTGTTAAAATCAAACGTTTATTATTGCATCAAAAGCAACTTTATTTCCCCACACTTTCGAGAGGTAGAGTACAAGACTTGCCCTTAGCCTCTGCCCAGCAATCTCTAACCATATAGTACTGGACTTGGCCTTTCACCAGTCTTCGCCAAAAAAATACAATTATGGATCCTATTACTGAAAAACTAGTTTTGATTTATTTTTTTTTTTCTGAGTTTTGAATCTGCAGACAGCTACTCTAAAGGAATACCCAGAACAGATGACGGTGGTGTTCTTCACTACTTGTTTTGGGAGCATCCAATGGGCAATTGTTTCAGTACTAGTAGAAAGGAAGGTAGATGCTTGGAAGGTGCAGCCTGGCATTGGAATGGTTGCCATTGTTGTTTCTGTAAGTAAGCTAGAATTTAAATTGTTAAACAAGACTCTAACAGATTTTGGGTTCCCGTCTTGCTATATTTTTCTTATGCCATTGATTATTAACAGTAACACATCTCCATTGTAGGCGGTTTTAGATCCTCTGTGTTGCAAAAATATTACTACTTTCTGCTTGGACACGAAGGGCCCTCTCTACGTTGCCATGTTCAAACCCCTGGGAATTGTCATTGCAGCAACTCTTAACCTTGTTTTTCTTGCGGAGGCCCTTCATTTGGGCAGGTAATTAAACACCATGCCCTCCGTATCTCCAATCAAACTATGGGACAATCCCAGCCAAATTGATCGGAATGTTGACTTGGTAATTCGAAGGTTACAAATTCAACTCCCATGGAAGTAGTCTATTGACTGACCTCTTTAATTTAAACCGGTCAACTTATAGACAACTTAAGCTGATTTATCTTGTCACCCAAATAGTGGTGGTTGAGAGCAGAAGGTTACAGAAAGTTCAACTCCCACTAGGAGCAGCCTATTGGCCTTGATTTGAATCAGTCAACAACTAGACTGGTTTACCTCATTCGGGTTTTTACCAGCTAAAGTGCATAACCCTCAAATAATGAAAGTGGATTTCCCTCCGTCACCCAAAAAAAACTCTATGGCCCTGTTTGGTAAAATATTAACCTATCAGTCAATTTTAACTTATTTGACCACTATTAATTATTTGATTTGGTTAAAAAATCAACTCCAAAATACTAAAATTCAAAAAGTTGCTCAAAATAGTTTTTTCAATTAGATTTTTGAGAAAAGAAATTATACTAAACAGCTAATTTATCAAACACCTTCCTACAATCAACTTGTGTTATCAACTACTTATACTCTCTAATTAACTCAATCAGCTAAACACCGCTTATATAAACTATGACTAATCAGCTATGATAACATTTTTGGCAGTGTTATTGATACACGGCTTATATAAACTATGACTAATCAGCTATGATAACATTTTGGCATGCAGTATTATCGGATCAATAACAATTATTATTGGATTCTACGGGGTGATGTGGGGCATGTCAAGAGAGGCGACCATAGTTGAGCCAACAGATATTTTATGTGAAAGTGGAGCTGTGAACGGAACGTCCCCCCTGCTACACAAGTAATTCAACACTGTTTAAAACGTGATTATATTGTGACCGTATAGATTATATTCCATTAGCTACTGCCTACTGGTGAGCCCAGAAACTAGATCACCTTTCCTCCTTTGTTGTGTAGTGAAGTTTATTTGTGGTGGGAAAACACATTGGGGAAGTTGTACGTCTTCTATTATTGCATAGAAATATCCAGAATACATATGAAACCTTATTGTGATTGGTGCACGAAGATATTGTATACCTATCCTGCGTGCTATCTCAATACGAGGAGTGTTTAAGGTCTCTGCAATATGTTTTTCTGTTGGCCTAGGAATTAGAATTTGTCCATTTAACTTTTTTTTTTTTTTTAAAACCAAACGACAAATGCATTAAACTAAATCCAAACGAAGAGAGTTACAGATGATAGGAGGAGGATTTGTGAACTACTCCGAGCAATCAGACAAAGAAATAGACTGTCTTGTTAATAAGTGGGTCCCCTGATTCGCATATTGCTTAATGAAATTTAAACTACAATGAGCAAAACCACTCATTAAGTTTTTAATATAGCTAAAATCAAATGAAAAGATGATTCTCCAATCTCAGAATTTAAGCTCTGAACAACTTGTAAGGAGTCGGACTCAATGATAACGTTGTCAACGGGATTTAAGCCAGCCAGGATAATGATTCATGGATCGCCACTGCTTCGACCTCTTTAGATGAAAACGATCATCTCCAGTAAGCTCCCCTTGCAGCCCTGAACTGTCCATGATCATCCCTTAAGACACAGCCAAATCCCATACAGCCTCGTTGACACTTATGGCAGCATCTACATTCAATGTATTGAACTTAGGACCATACTAGGTTTTTAATATTAAAGGTTAACTTGCATGATGTGCCACCATAGTTAATTCTGGATTTCTGGATAGCTATTTTTATTACAAAAATTTATTTTGACTCCGTTTCTCATTTTCGTCTCATATATATATATATATGAAATAAATTTTAAATATTAATACTTTCTTGTAAAAATGTAGTATATTCTTTATGAGTTAATACCTATTATGTTTTCACTAAGGACTCGTTGGTTCGTGAAAATCAAGAGGAGAAAATAGCGTTATTCAAATTTAATATAACTTTTGATTCCGGGAACATTTTGATTTATACTCTCAACTATTAATTCAAGCAAATTTAGTCTCCTAATTTTTGCATGTACTTTTTACCTGCATTCATTGATTGGGTGCACCTACGTTCACCTACAAGTGTACCTACTTTCGACTGCAAGTGCATGTAATTTTGTCTGGTTAACATTCATTGATCTGAGTTCAGCGGATAGTAATATCCCTGACAACCACCCGCAAACATTCATGCACCTAGGTGCAACTACTTATAACTATAGGTGCAACTACATATAACTATAAGTGCACTTAGTATCGATGCTCAGTGTGCACCTATAATACATTTTACATCCACTTGTAATACATTTTACGTGCACTTCGATGTTCAATTATTTACAAAAATACCACCGCGTTTTTTTTAAAAAATCACTGTTTCTCATCCATTAGATCTGGACACGTGAACGGACATCAGTCATTCCTATTTCGCTCCTGAAAAATCCATTAGCACGGGAGTGTAACTCTCTCTCTCTCTCTCTCTCTCTCTCTCTCTCTCTCTCTCTCTATATATATATATATATATATATATATATATATATATATATATATATATATATATATATATATATATGGGTTTTTATGAGAACACCTATTTAGGTGAGATTGTTTTAATCAAATCTTGTTCATCAATCTAATAAATTTTAAAGGTCTATTCAGGCGTTGACCTATCAACACCTTCAGTTAGTAACTTTGCCAATTATTGTTATTATATTATAAATACATAGACGGAGCCAGAGGGGGGGCAGGGGGGTCAGCTGCCCCCCCTCACCCCCACCCCACCCCTCTCCTACCCTATATTGTATATAATATGTATATATAGTACATTATTGATATAAGTATTATAAAACAGATTATGTAAACAAAGACTGTTATATATATATATATATATATATATATATATATATATATATATATATATGGGTTTTTATGAGAACACCTATTTAGGTGAGATTGTTTTAATCAAATCTTGTTCATCAATCTAATAAATTTTAAAGGTCTATTCAGGCGTTGACCTATCAACACCTTCAGTTAGTAACTTTGCCAATTATTGTTATTATATTATAAATACATAGACGGAGCCAGAGGGGGGGCAGGGGGGTCAGCTGCCCCCCCTCACCCCCACCCCACCCCTCTCCTACCCTATATTGTATATAATATGTATATATAGTACATTATTGATATAAGTATTATAAAACAGATTATGTAAACAAAGACTGTGATAGACAAAGTGGTAGCTAATGTGTATGAGTTTCAAAATAGTCTGGGTTCAAGTCTTTGCATTTATAATGTCATAGTTTTCTTCACTTTTTTTATTAACACAATTAAATTTTGGCATGATATATATAACTTCCATTATAACTTTCTTTATATTAATAATGGAATGTACAATTTATAATGTGTTTTATATTCGAATTATTTTATCAAATTAATTATGTTTCATATTTTGTTATAAATATTTTTATAAAGTTTTAATATGTTTTATTTTTCGCTATATCCAACAATATTTATTGTTATACTTTCATTTTTTTTAAACTTTCTCTTTTATTTTAATTTTTTTTCCTCACTAAAAAACATTTCTGAATCCGCCATTGAATCCATCCTTACTTCTTTGCCCCCCCCCCCCCCCCCCCCCCCCCCCCCCCCCCAACATATTTTCTGGCTCCGTCCCTGTATAAATATATAAATTGTGAACATTTAATATATAAATTGTATATTTTTACTCGAATTCACCTTACAAAGTGGACTTGAATCCATGACATAACTATTGAAGTATCTTTGTTCTTCATTTTAAAGTGGAGCCCACCAACTATAAAAAGGATCCTACTAATTTGCATGAGGCACAACCAATGCCCCACCATCTGCCCGTTGGGGGCGGTATATCCTTTCCTGTTTCTTTTTTTTTTTTTTTTTTTGTTCTTCTTCTTTCCCTTCTCTTAATCATCTTTTCTTTCTAGTCACACATGTAAAAACTCCTCAAAAACCACAACAATTGAGATGCTTGCTCTGTGCTCATAGGTCTTGCCCTCTTGGTGATTGGTACTAATGCATAGCATTATCAAATTTGTTAGTTGATGTCAAATGATTGAATTAAGCAAACATGACGTTGATTACTTAATTTGAAAATTCAACTCAACATTTCAGTTTGTCTCTATACCAAATACATATCCCGTATGCGTATGCATCTATCTGAAAGTGGTTTCAGAGAGCGGCCATGGCAATGGGAAATGAGATTCTGAGAAAGGAAGTTCTTCCATTTGCAGCAATGATAGTAGTGGTGTGTATGGAGATGGCAACATCCACAATAGCCAAAGCAGCCCTTAATTCCGGGCTAAGCTCTCTTATTTTCGTGCTTTACTACAATTTCCTTGGCGCCCTCCTTCTTCTTCCTGGATTCTTCATCCAGAGGCACAGGTTTAACAGATCACTCCAATTCCAATTCTTCTATGTTGTTTGTTTGAAATATAAAACCTGCATTTAATTTACTGTCCTGTTGGTTTCAGAAGGAATCCACTGCCTATAACCTTGTCTATTCTGAGTAGATGTTTCATCCTTGGCCTGCTCGGGTATTCGACGATGATTTTACTAGTACATAGATGAACTTTGTGAAAGGGGAGAATTGAAGATCTTACTTACTAAGAGATCAGAACAGTTTACTATAATGAATTATGATATTGCAGGACATGTCTGGTGATTGGTTTGGGTTTCCAAGGGCTCAACTATAGCTCTCCTACTCTGGCTGCAGGCATTAGTAACTTGATGCCTGGTTTTACATTTGTTCTTGCCATGATTTTCAGGTATATATATATATATATATATATATATATATATATATATATATATATATATATATATATATATATATAATATAATGCTGATCTAATTAGCAGCTAACATGCATCCTTTTTGTCTGGTAACTTCCATGAATTATTATTGATTGTTGCAAAATTTAGGATGGAGAAGTTTGAGGTGAAGAGAAGAACATGGCAAGCAAAATCAGTGGGCACACTTGTGTCAATTATAGGGGCATCTATCATGACTCTATATCAAGGACCAACAATCTTGGGATCATCATCTTCATCTTCATCATCTACTTTGCCTTCTTATTTGCCTCATCAATCTCTTCTGTCACATTCCTCAAAGTGGGTGCTAGGGGGTGTTATGCTTCTAGCCGCATGCTTTTTCGCATCTGGGTGGAACATTTTGCAGGTACAATATTGTTAAAATCAAGCGCTTATCATTGTGCCAAAAGTAACTTTATTTTTTTATACTGTCACATTTTCGAGAGGCAGAGTGCAGAACTTAGCCCTTCAGCCTCCACCCGGCAGTCCCTAACTACATAGTACTGGACTTGGCCTTCGCCCAACAAATACAATTGAGTATGGATCCTATTACTGCAAAACTAGTTTTGATTTGTTCTGAGTTTTGAATCTGTAGACAGCTACTCTAAAGGAATACCCAGAACAGATGACAGTAGTGTTCTTCACTACTTGCTTTGGGAGCATCCAATGGGCAATTGTTTCAGTACTAGTAGAAAGGAAGGTAGATGCTTGGAAGGTGCAGCCTGGCATTGGAATGGCTGCCATTGTTGTTTCTGTAAGCAAGAATTTAAATTGTTAATCAAGACTCATTTTGGGTTCCCGTCTTGCTATATTTTTCTTCTGCCATTGATTATTAACAGTAACACCATCTCCATTAATATTATAGGCGGTTTTAGAGCCTCTGTGTTGCAAAAATATTACTACTTTCTGCTTGGACACGAAGGGTCCTCTCTACGTTGCCATGTTCAAACCCCTGGGAATTGTCATTGCAGCAACTATAAACCTTGTTTTTCTTGCGGACGCCCTTCATTTGGGCAGGTAATTAAGTTGATCTGAATGTTGACTTTGTAATCAGCAATCTATTGGTCTTATTGGTTTGAATGGTCAATTTATAGACAATTTAAATTAATTTATCTCGATACTCAAATAGTGACGGTGGGTTTCCATCGTCACTAAAAAAAAAAAAAAAAAAAAAAAAAAAAAAAAACTCTGTATAAACTATAACTAATCAGCTATGATAACATTTTGGCTTGCAGTATTATCGGATCAATAACAATTATTATTGGATTCTACGGGGTGATGTGGGGCATGTCAAGAGAGGTGACCATAGTTGAGCCAACAGATATTTTATGTGAAAGTGGAGCTGTGAACGGAACATCACCCCTGCTACACAAGTAATTGAACAGTGTTTAAAACGTGATTGTGACCGTATAGATTCCATTTGCTACTGATGAGCCCACAAACTGCATCACCTTTCCCAATCATTATACCGTGAACCAGTGCACTTTGGACTCTGATCCTAAACGACGTAGTTTTGAATTTTAATTTTGACGGCAACAATTATTTGTTGTTTGTCTCTTGTGTTATGCGTTTCTGTGTCTCATGTTATGCAATTTTGTACTTTAAGCGTATGGATTCTGTACTTGAAATAAAGTAAAAATAACATGCACTTTTGTGTCTTGTGCTATGTGTTTTTTGTGTCTTATGTTATGTAATTTTGTACCTTAAAAATATGAGAAAATTTCAATTTTGGTCCACTGACTATTGGAGTTGTGTTAATTGCAATACTTGACTTTAAAAAATGTTAATTTATTACCTTGACTATGCAATTTCTATCAATTTTGATCACGCCAGCCAAATTGTCGGCCAAATCTCACCAAAAAATTTTAATAGGTCAAATAATTAGGGTATTTTAGTCATTTTACTATCTTTTCTTTCTTCCCCAATGAGCTTTTCTCCATTTCCGGCGACAATTTCTTCTCCGATGAACTTCTCCACTTCTTCTGCTTTCTTGTTTTCTTTCCTTATTACTTCTCTCTCTAAAACACTATGACTTCTCTCTAGGGAAAAAGCGACACAAGTTCGGCCGAAACTTGCGACTGCCTTTCCGGCGCCGGCAGGACTCCAGCCGGCGATCTGAACCAGTCAATCGCTCCGTCTCATGGAGACAAACACGGAGGTGGGTCAGCCGCCTCCCGAATATGTAGAACAAGAACTCGATTGCGCTAGGAACTTTCTGGCCGAGTTACGTCGTAGAATCGTGACACTTTCTCCATCGGCGATCTGCCGCCTCTTGGCCGGCAATGATGATTTGGAGCCGGCCAGTGATGTCTCCAACGCTCAGCAACAACATCGCCACCATCAGATCATGGATCGGCGGTCTCTTGCGATCTCCAGCACTCAGCAACAATGTCTCCTGCAAATGCTTCGTCAGAATGCAAAGGCGGTTATGGGTGTTGCTGACGTCAGTGTTCGTGAGCTGTTTCTGAATCGCCAGTTTCGCCGACACCTCGCGGGTTTCCGGCAGGAGGAGAATCAGGTTCTTGATTTTCTCCGACAGCCCTGGCGGTGGAGAATTAGGTTCTTGATTTTCTCCGCCGATGCTCCCTCATTCCTGGATCTCTTCCTTTTCCGGCCGTTTGGAGATAAGCTCATTGGAGAAGAAATTATCGCCGAAAATGGAGAGAATCTCATCGGAGAAGAAAGAAAATATAGTAAAATGACTAAAATACCATCATGATTTGATTTATTAAATTTTTCCAGTGAGATTTGGTTGACAATTTGGTCGGCGTGACCAAAATTGATAGAAATTGCATAGTCAAGGTACTAAATTAACATTTTTGAAAGTCAAGTGTTGCAATTAACACAACTCCAATAGTCAGTGGACCAAAATTGAAATTTTCTCTAAAAATGTTGATTCTGTACCTTAACTAAAGTAAATATAAAACATGTGTATATGTTTTGTGTTATGCGTTTGTTCTCACGTTATGCAATTGTGTATCTTAAGCGTATAGATTAGTAGTTGTGTAACACACAACATATTGTGTCTTATTTTACGAATTAATGTCTTGTATTATGAAATTATGTGCCTATAGGACATATATTATCTACATAAATCATATTTGAGAATAAGTAAATATATAACACATGTGTATGTGTTTTGTGTTGTTAGTTCGTGTTATGAAATTCTGTACCTTAAAGAGTATTGATTCTGTACCTAGAATAAATTAAAATTTGTGTTGAAACATAAGAAACGTGACACTACAGAATTTGTTAAAGCTTAAATATCAAAACGACGAAACGACGTTGTTTTGATCTAGGGTCCACAATGGTATGTAAACCCTGGTCCACGATATAAATTGTCTACCTTTCCTTTTTTGTTCTGTCAGTTGTTATACCATGGACCCTTGTTCTAAATTGTGTATTTTTAGTATTAGAATTGTGAACATCTAGAATATAAAGTGTGTTCCTATTGTTAGGATCGAAACGGGTTCACAACACCAAATTTACAATAGCAACTTGAACTGGAAATATTGAGAATAAATTCTAGTGTAAGATTTAAAGTAAATCATACACAGAACAAGGCAATTTGAAGAAGAATTTTTCTGTATTGGCAAATAATAATACAATAGGAATTATAAATATAACTCTCTATTTTTCTCTACAGAATTTTGCTATACTCTCTGTTTCGAATGAGATGGGATGGGATGGGATTATCTGATTAATGAAGGATGTTGCCTTATTTATAGCAATCCATGAGTCTAGAATTTTCCAAGCTAGAACCCATGTGCTTAGAGATAATGTTATTTCTTTCCCTGCAAGTTTTCCCCAAAACACATGCCCAAACCTAGCCCCATGCTCTTAGGCAAACCTCCTCCCAAGTCCCTAAATCTCCTCCTAAATTCCTTTAGGAAATCTCCTCCCAAAATCATCCCAGGCAAAAAATATCTGCCCATTCCACATTCTGACTTTAATATTTACACCTATGTTTAAAAAATTTGTGAATATAATAGAGTCATCACAAATTGTGATTTTTAAAAAATAATTATGTATATTTAATATGTAAATTGTATATTTTTAGATCTGGGTCCACCTTAGTCCACAGAATAATTTGCCTTGTTCTGTAGTGAACTTTATTTGTGGTGGTGGGAAAACACATTGTGGAAGTTGTACATCTTCTATTGCATTGAATTATAGAAATATCCAAAATATATCTTTGAGTTAAGTTTTTACCTTAAAAAAAATCCAAAATACATACGAAACCTTATTATGATTGGTGCAGGAAGATATTTTATACCTATCCTGCTATATCAATACGAGGAGTGTTTAAAGTCTCTGCAATATGTTTTTCTATTGCCCTAGGAATTAGCATTACCCATTTAACTTAGGAATTAGGACCGCTTTTAAAAGATATCTACCAAAAAATTGAAGGTTAACTTGCATAATGTGACACCATAGTTAATTCAGGATAACTATTTTTATCACAAAATTTTATCTTAATTCGGTCTCTCATTTCCGTCTTATATGAAATAAATTTTAAATATTAATATTTTTTTTTATGAAAATGTAGTATTCTTTATGAGTTAATACGTATTATGTTTTCACTAAAAGACATTACTTTTTTTTTATAGTGAACCATAAGAAAAAAATTATTGTTACATTAGAAGGTAAACATTATAAAATAAAATTAAGAGGAGAAAATAGCATTATTCAAATTTAATATAACTTTTGATTTTGGTAACATTTTGATTTATATTCTCAACTATTAATTTAACCAAATTTAGTCTCTTGATTTTCTAAATATACCAAAATTAATTTACAATATTTAAAATATCATAATTTGGAATATTTCACCGTTTTAGAAGTGATAACATTTTGAATTAAACTTGTTCAACCAATGTTTAATAAAACAATAGTCAACTTGGCATTCTATTGCCTACTAGCTTGCTTAAGCCCATAGAATTATCTCATCAACATACATACTTGGTTTGGCTTGTCACTTTGAAATCCAAGAGGGAGGACCATGTAGACCTCCTCATCTAAATAGGAAGGCATTATTGATATCCAACTATTAAATGTGCTACCACTGCAGAGAAAGTCTTAATAGTTGACAATTTTGCTACGGGTGAAATAATTTCTATATAATCCACATCAACTGTTGAGTGTATCCTTTAGCCACTAACCTGACCTTATATCTTTCTATTGAGCCATCTGATTTATGTTTGATCTTATACACCCATTTGCAGCCTATTAGAGTTTTCCCACGAGATAAATTAGTGATGAGGTCCACGTATAAATTAATTGTCTTGAATGCCTTGAATTTCAGCATGCATTGCTCGTTTCCAACACTGAAATTTGATTGCCTCATTAGTCATTATGTCTTAGGTTCAGAATTGGAGGAGATAGCAGTGGTTGTGAAATGACGTCAAAAAATTCACAATACCGAATGAATAAAAGAAATTTTACTGTGATTTAGTTAAACTTTTTTGTGTTCATAGTTCTATCCAAAATCACATCCTTCTTTGCAGCCACTAGCCATTTTATCCCAAAAAGGAAAAAATAAAATAAATTAGAGAAATAGAAAGAAAAGAAAATGGTAGTCTTCAGTCAAAGCAAATGCTGATTTCTTTCTCGCATAGCACTCCACTGAATTAAGAGATCAGATTCTTGGAAAGGTAAATTAAATGGAGACAACTACAATCAGAAGCTTCACAGTAAGTTCCTTAGCAGAATAAGCCAATGCAAACCAAGCATGCGAGTGACAACAGAAACTGAAGTACCTCAGTACTAATACCATGTTATAGGTTTAATTATCAGAAGTTCATGATACAATGACACAAAGAATAGGATCATTTCTGCACAAATGGGATTTTTTTTTTTCTTTTTGGTTTTCCAGAATGCAATGAGTATGGCCACCATTTTTGGTTCATAAGCATAGGACTAATGAGCATTCTGCTCAATGGGGTGAGCAAAAGCAAAAAAGAATAGTTGTATCAGTGCAATCTGGCAAAATAATCTTCACTGTTTTTGGTCTCTCTCGGAACTTCCTACTTCTCCACGGATTCGCTTCTGAAGATGTTCTAAGCTAGCCACTCGCTGCATTGAAGCTGTTCTTCCCATCTTGTTCGCCCCAGCGGCCTCTGATGCAGTTGGGCCCTGCTTTGCATCATCAATTGGAGGAATGTCTACTAAGCCATTCTGCATTCCAGGGTTGTGGGTGGGAATACCACTGTTTGACGGGGGTTGATAGAAGTGATGTTTGAGGTCATCTTGCACAGGTACGGAAGCATCAGAAGATGTGTCAGGACTACCTGCAAAGGGTGGCAAGCCCATTGTGGGTATCTCAGGCATCGCTTGAAATAGAGGATTCAGGCCAGTGGCTCTTTTAACTGCTTCTTCAGCCATCTTTACCTGCAAGCAGAAGAATGTTTTATATACGGAGTAATTAAGAAATGAGAGTAGCAAAAAGCAATCCAACTGAAAAGGTCATTATTTTAACACTTTGTTTCTTATGTTTAACAAGGTCACTGCATTTAGAACTTCTGTTGTCTCCTAAAACAGTGTTATAGAAAGCAAAGGTTTAAGACTCCTACAAGATGGAATGCACGGAAATCCTTGTTTGTTTTCATACTTCAGATCTTCAAATGACAAAGGATAATAGACAGATTAGTAGCTTTACCAGTTCAACACATAATGAAGAGAGAAAACTTAGTAAATCATCCTATGAACATGTTACCTTGGCTCTCAATGTCTCAACATCTGCTTTCAAGACTCTATTGTCAACTGCCGATTCATTGTATTTTTGGCTTATGTCGGTCAAACGTTTCAACAAAGAGGAGTTTTCAACTCTCAATTGAGAAACCTACAGAAAACCATGACTAATGCTCAGTTATCAATAGTCAGAGAGTAAAAAGACAAGTGGATCCAAGAAATATACCTGTGTCTCCAATTCCGTCAAGTGGGCCTGCTTTCTTCTCCTAGAACGTCTAGCAGACTCTCTATTGGATAGCATTCTGGTGAACACAAAAAATTAATAGTTTTAATATGTACATATTAGCAAGTGCATGTATGCATATATGTACCCGATGTCCCGATAGCAAGTATACTATTGCACTCATAAAATTCAACTTTCAGTTGCTAAAAAACAAGGAAATCAGATAAATATGTGATTGCACAGAAAATTTGTTGATTTGGTGAAGAAAAGAGTAGATTCAAACACCTCATGTTATTAATGCATAGTATCAACAAACAAGACTCATTTTCAGGAGTGTCACACAGTAAACATGCAGCCTCTAATGGATGAACCTTCCCTTCACTTTTAGTGCCCCCACTCCTAAAAAAAGCACCTCTTTTCCCTCAATGGCAACTCTTATTCACACCATTCTCAGTGGGATGGGAATTCTTTATCCTCTTTGGGACTTAATGCCAACCTAATTGTCTTATATAAACCTGTATGCTTTACCACAGAACTACTGACTATCCATGTAGTTTATAAAACCTTCACTGCACATCAAACTCGAGAGTCAAAAAAAATTAGTTTTCTAGTTGTCTTTCTTTGTACACAACCCATAATTAAATGAGATGTAAACAAGTGCATGGAATAATAGACTAGGATGCAACACAATGTGTATATAAGATTTTTTCCTTCAGTAGGCATCTACAATAATAGAAGACTATATCTTAGGCAAACTTCTTGTATAACAAAGGGAAATGCAGTTGATAGGTCAGGGTACTCAAGGTCAGGCAGAAGCCTATAATGATGATCATTGATCAATGAACTACAAAGTGGATGAATTGAAGCTCAGAAGCATTTGTTGTTGATCAGAATTTGCTCACTAACTAGATGAGCGACAATTCATTACAAATTGATGTGGCTGCTTAATCCTCCCTTACTCCCTATTTTATTTGCTCCTAGCAATAAAAAAGTCTAAATTGAACATAAAAATACTTATTTAAAAGTGCTAACCTCCTTACGCGTTTTACATCAGCAGGATTCGTTTTATCAGTTGTTTCTGCTTCTCCCTCAGCTTCTTCATCCTCTGATTGCTCCGAGCCACTTGTTGTTGATTTAACCTGGGCAACAAGTTTCTTCTGCATTGAAGGCAAGGAGGGTATCCCAATAGGCCCTCCAGCCTCCTCCTCTTGCACCTTAGGTAAATCATGTGCAGGCACTAAACAGCAAAGATAAATAGGCCAACAAATTTCCAAAATAAGTTTTACATTCAGGAATCACCCATTTGGCCAGACAGTAAATATGTTCCTCATACGTTCAACCTAGGTGGCATGGAAATGGGAAATAGGAGCAAGAAAAAACACCAATTTCCAAAAATGTAGGACATGAAAAGTAGAAAAATGTGTACAAATATAAAATTTATAGGTGTATATTTACAGTTTTTTTCCTTAATATGCAAAAATATTAATTTTCTACTTGTTTCATAATTAAAACTAATATACTAACAAATACCAAGAAGTCCATTTAAAATAAATAAAATAAAATAAAATGTCCAACAATAAGAAATTATATAAATTGCCAACTTTGGAATCTCTGATTTTGAACTGCTAAAGAAGTTATATGATCTCTGCTTCATTTGTGAGATTAGTCACTAGACTGAAAGCTAGGTACTAGGGTTGTATTGGATCAAAGGGAAGATTGAAAGAGTGAATACACTTATGGCAGTAGTCAGATCGGAGGCCCTTTTTTTAATATAAATTAGACCCTTCAAATGCATTTCTTGAAAATAAAACACATTTTCAATTTTTTCAAGTTATGAAAACAACCAAAAAACATTTCAGGACAATTTCTATGAGTTTCCATAGGGAAACATGCTCGAAATGCAGAAATGCTATCCCCCAAGGTCTGCCATATTTGTAATGATGCATAGCACCCATGGAGGTGGGATTAGCTGCCAAGACTATGGGGACCAAGCCAAGAAAGACTGCTTGCACATGAGGTGTAGAACTTGCTACTCACAGTGGACAAGGAAAGATTATCAAATTATTCAATTTAGAGAATTAGAGTTGATATTTAATTGACAATTTTGCCCATGCTTTAAAAATCCAATTGACGAAAAATTGCACAAACTCAATACTCAAAGGTCAAAATGGGTCAATTTTAAAGCTGATGATCAAAAGTAACAAACCCTTCTATGGCTAATGTCCTTATCAGCGGATTTTAAAATTGATTGGTAAGGAAATTAGCACATTACACATTTTCTAAGACATATTACAAATTTTGAATATACATATCACACATATTACATATCAGTGGGGTGTTTGGTAAATAGTTGTTAGCTGATTGGGTGAGTAGGTTTGTCTAGTTAATAGCATTAGCTGATTGTAGAAAGATGTTTGGTAAATTAGTTATTAACTGATAACTGTTTATAACTTTATATGCAAAATGACTTTCTCAAAAAGCTGATTGAAAAAACTACTTTGAGTAGTTTTTTGAATTTTAGTTTTTTGGAGCAATAAGTTGTTAAAAAAGTTAATTAATCAAACACTTATATTTGTTGTTTAAGCAAGTCAAACAACTAATATTGGTTAAATAAGTCAAAATTGACTATAAGCTAACTATATTACCAAACAGGTCACTAGATGTTATATTGATTATCCAAAAATAAGTACAAAGTAGCAGGCATGATTCACCTTTTATAAAATAACAGAGCCAAGCTGGTTTCTACAAAATACCTACATCTAGCACACATTTTCAAGTACCGTTCTACTCTGTAAAAATAGTGCTTCAACAAGAACAAGGAAAAAATCTCAAGCAAAACACCAAACACCAAAAGCAAGCCAATAAGTATCATGCAAAACTAAGCAGAAACAGGTAAATTTTACTCAGGTTATGAGCCTATTATATCTGAATATGACAGGCATAACAATTTCTATATAAAGTAATAAATCTAGGAAAGAACAACTAACCTTTAACAGGCGTCTGAGATCCTAGTTGTGGCGTATGGGAGGCCAGCGATGTGTTTTCAGAAGGCACCGAGGCTGAATCTTGAGCTTTCATGTTATTTGCCTGATAAATAAACACCACTTTAAATACACACTTCTTATACTCCATTTTTTAAAAATCGATCGCGGAAACCAGTGATTCACTGGCATGCATGTCATGGAAGGAAGATAAGCATCAAGATTAATAATAATTCGAAGATTAAATGGTATATAAGCATCAATTATTAAGTTCACTAATTTGCAGAAAAACCAATTAAGCCACGTAAGTATGTTCCTCGCTTCTTCTTTTTTTTTTTTTTTCTCAATATGGAAAATTAAATATCTACCGGGTTGAAATGGAAAAATAAAGCGTTGAAACATACGCGAGTCAAAGCAACGGCGGCGCAAGCCAAATCGAGGCGCTTTTTGAGGAATGCCTGGTAGTCCTCCGAATCAATCGGAATATCCGAGGCAGCTCCCGACCCTAACGACGTCGTCGTCTTTGCAGTTGTAGTCGCAGTCACCGTCTCCACCTCCTTGCCGGAGCTCTTGTAACCATAATCCGATTTCCGATCAGCATCGAGCCTCCCGCCCTGGATCTCAACCACATCGCTCGGAAGAGACTTTTGCGAATGAGAACTAGAAGTGGCGGAGGAAGCAGCGGCAACCGAAGACGGCGGAGCAGCAGCCTGATCGACGGCGGCGACTGCGGCGGGGGAGGAGTTAGCTGAGGCTTCCTGCAGGAAGCGTTGGAAGGCCCACTCCGAGGAGCTGCGGTTCATCACTTTAGATGAGGCGGAGGAATCTATGTCGAGGTCCGCCGCCTGCGACAGCCGAACCGGCGGCGGCGACCAGAATTGGTCAGCTATATCCTCGACGGAAAACACCCTATCCATTTATCTCTCCGTCAAATCGTCAATTCCCTATTTTCTCTCTCTTGTCCGAACCTTCTTACGATAAATAGTAGTGGCGTTGCATTCCGGTATAATTGAGTTTTGTTACCCTACATCTACGCCCAGGGGTAGGGATGGATACGCATACATTGGATGAAATAAATCACCATTATTTTGTTTCTAAAATTCAAATATTACTCCATCAATCATTTGATATTTTCTTAAATACTTTAATGTTTGGTTCAAGCTATAAATTATAATCAAAGGAATGTGACATTCTAAAGCTTACATTCATATGTATAGTTCATATTATTTTACTTTTATGAGAAAATATAACATTCGTCAAATAATGCAACATACCATTTACATAAGATTTTGAAGAGAATGAGATTCCCTTACACTTTTTGAGTTATCTAAGATTACGAGAAATATTTATAAAATTTGTCATTTTATTTCTAATTATACTACGTATATTTCATGTTAGCTCATTATATGTAGGCAAATTCTATTTACACCACCTATTTTGCCATTTGCACCACCTATTTAGTACGTCAAATAGCTTTATAGGTGATGTAAATGCAAATTTGCTATTTACACCATCAGCATTAAATGTGGTCAAAGATTATTATTTATTTTTCATTTTTTTTTAAATTAAAAAAAAAAAAAAAACAAAAAAAAAAACAAACAAACAAACAAACAAACCTCCCTCCCTCCCGTCACCTTCTCCGGTGAGAAGGCAACCCAGTGGGTTGTTTAACCAAAAAAAAATAATAATAATAATGAAGGAAACCATCGCCTTCTCCAATGAGAAGGCTATGGACATGCCTTCTCACTGGAGAAGGCAACCCAAGGGTCGCCTTCTCACCGGAGAAGGTGACCCATGTAGCCTTCTCCGGTGAGAAGGCAGCCCAGTGGGTTGCCTTCTCACCGGAGAAGGCAGCCCAGTTGCCTTCTCCGGTGATTCTCACCGGAGAAGGTGGGATTTTTTTTTTAATTTTTAATTAATTAATTATTATTTAAACATAATAAATGTGATTTAATTAAGGTGGTGCAAATAGCATTTTGACCACTCATTAGGCTATTTGCACCACCTATTTATTTATTATAAATTTTTAACTTTTTATATTTTCAATGTACTTTTTACCCTATTTTAGTCAAAGGGGGTGCAAATAGCAACACCCTATATGTATTATATTTAATTAGTTTTTCTAATTATATATTTTATTTTATTTGTTATTACGTCATATTTGCTTATAAAATAATTTTATTTCTCGAGTTCAAGATTTTAGTTAATTATTTTTAAATCATGTAATTATATATGATATCATTATCTCGTTGTTTATTTTAATTTTAAATTTTATTAAAATATATGAAAATATATTAAGTGTATTAAAGTAAAAAAAAAATTAAAAAAATATATACATAACATAAAAGATAACCTCTAAATCAAACAAGTTTATATTACATACCTCAATTTTAGCCAAACATAGGAATCTAACATTCCCAGCAATCTAACATTTCATAAGGTAATCTAACATTTCGTAAACCAAACGAACCCTAAAATCTTATTGAGTACCAACTAAATCCTGATTTTCCGCAGTACAAGAGGATTTTGGAAAAGCGAGAAAAAGGAAACCAATAAATTCTAACCAAAAAAAAAAAAAAAAAAAACTAAAGGCATTAAGCGCTCAAAGGCGCGTGCATTGCATGCGCCTTCTATGTGCGCAAATTGATGCACATGCGAAGCAATCTGTGCAAATTTTTGTCTTTCCTTCCAAAAGTGGATGATTATTAGGAAATTGAAATCAAACATAAAATTCAAATTCATATTTATGTGTAATTATTAAGAGAGAAGAACACAATTTATGAATTTACTTAAGAATTATTTACCTTGTGAGGTATGGTTAACTTTGCTCAGGATGTAGATTGAGGAACAACCACTCTGGATAATGCCCCGGTTGATATAATCAGTCTTCTTCAGGATGATGCGTGTAACACTCCTTATATAAGGATTAGATAATGCTCTCAAGTGAGGGCTTTAGATGTACCGAAAAATAAAATGTTGTAATATATCAATCTTATCACAAATTAAATGTATTTAATATTCAAATAAAAAAAATCAACTACTTCCTCTTATCCTATTTTATGTATTAAGTTCAGTTGACAAAATCTGATTCTAGTTATTTATAATACAATCTTTTGTAATATTTAGTTTGGTGTTATTATGTTATCATAATCTGAAAATTATATAAAGAATACTATTTTTTTTTTGAAACAATATAAAAAATACTATTAAATATATAAAAATTAAATAAATGTGAAAGAAATAAACTACAATATATTATTATTTTTTATTTCCCAAATGTGGTCAAAGATATTTGCATGTGAGTATAGTCCGCGATGCAGGCAATCCTTTCTACACAGATGTGTCGTCGCCGTAGGCCAATTGGCAGAGACAACTTTTCCGGTGGTCTGATTCGTGTTTCTATGGCAAATTACGATCCACACAGTGTTATGTGAATCATAATAAAAAGTATATTTTTAATATATTAAATGTATATTATTTTTGTAATGAGTATAAATTATATAATATAATGTATATTTAATACAAAAATAATGTACATCTCCTGAATATAATGTATATTAATTTTGTATTGAATGTACACTATTTTTGAATTGAATGTATATTATTTTACATATATAAATATGGTCCACACAATAATGATTGGTGTTTCTATTGGATAGACATTCTCTGGCCCATTTTACGGATAAATATTGAAATTCAGTCCACATATTGCAGGGCCCACCATTCATGCAATTGGGGCCCAACAGACCTTTTCTCCACTTTAAAGGTGCAAAAGCTGCGTTCGTTTCTGGCTCGCTAGTTTTGTTTTCTGCATTTCATTTTTTTTTTTCTTTTTCTTCCTTTGCGAAAAGTTCTCATGGATTATCCACAAATGGATTTCCACTTGGCCCACTTGGCCCACATGGATAATGGATTATCATCATTTTGACGTCGATTTAAAAAAAATAAAAAAAAATTCAGAATTACATAACTAAAACACATCCAGAATTGCATAACTACACATCCATAACTTCATAACTATAAATACAGAATTTTATAACTTCATAACTATACATTCAGAATTGCATAACTACACATCCATAATTTCATAACTATAAATCCAGAATTGCATAACTATACATCCATAATTTCATAACTATACATTCAGAAATTATGCACAACATAATGTTGTTGACGGGAATCGAAACTGATTTTTTTTTTTTTTAGTTTGACGCGTGTTTTTAGTCAAAACGACGTCATTTTTGCATCCATGTGCACCATGCATGGTGTACACGGATGCACAACATTATTTGCCGATGTTTTTAGGGTTGCGCATCGATAAATTTTCGGTTAATAATCAAAATTTTAATCGAACCTTTACAACTGATCAAAAATTGGCCGATCAATTTTCATAATCGATATAATTGAAATCGACGATTTCAATTGGTTTCAGTCAATTAAATATAACTGAATTTTTTAGCAAACTAGCTGAATTTTATTTTATTTATTTGATTAATGTTAAGAGACTTAATTATTAAAGGAAAAAAATATATTATTATTTATAATCAATCAATTAAAAGTAATATCCTCAAGTAAAATAGTAGTTTACTGAGATACAAATGAACTATATTAATGCGATAGATTATGAACTTGCAAAATGTAAATAGAATGAGGTTAGATTTTTTTTTTTTT